TCTTTTTCCGATTATTTCTTTTAATTTGATGAAAATCACGCTTCCGCTATTTTTCTCACACGTTAAAAAATATTCTCAATTTTCTTCCGGAAGAAAAGTTTTTCGATTAGCACAAAAAAAAGCAGCAGCGAAACTTTATTAAAAAAACAAAAATTTGAAATAAGGAAATAACATAAAAGAACGAAAGCGCGATATATGATGTGACCTCGACAAACGGACACTCACAAACTACTACCATTGGTAACCAAATCGAAGAAGAACCAAACAAACGTATGCAAAGATAAAAAACAACATTAAACAAGAAGAGAAATGAAGAAAAATACGATGTGAGAGAAAATAAATTTGAGTAGAACATTGGACTGAGATGAAGGAAAGGAATGATCAGTGAATGTATAAGAATGAAGAAAGAAAAAAAAAACTTGCTTGGCATATAAAAATATATATAAATACATGTGGATACTTTGGTCGCTCAATTGTTGGTATTGCTGCTTTGTTAATAAACTTTTGCTATTAATATATTTTATGTGGTCGAGTATAAATCAAATTATTAAGATGATTGGAACTGATCTTGGTGTTGGAAAGGTCGGGAGCTTTTAGGAAAATTCTTTGGCGAATTTTAGATTATTTGATTAACATTCAATCTTCAGAATTACTGTAGACTCAATATTCCTGGAAATATCACGTAGTCACTTTATATACATTGAACTACTAAGATATGACGTTGCTACGTGTATATTACATCTATACTTTTCATAGAAGCAATATAAAGCTATGGAGAACGACTTAATAATCATGGCAGGAAATTATTTGTGAAATTTTGAAAATCTTTTTCTAGCTTTTTATTTAAAGTCAATTAAAATTAAATTTGAGGATCTAAAGGAGCAAATTTACCACTTTTTGGGCAACTAGGTCATTAACTAGCTGGCAGAGGTTCACAATCTCATTTTTTGACCAATCTGTTGGAATTAACATGTTCGATTGTCTATCAGCATCAATATCAATCACATATCAACAGTTTGCTTATCTAATGGTCAACGGCTAGATCTAAACTAAAATTACGTAGGATTAAGATTTTAATTCTTAATTCTACAACATAAGGTAGACATGAAATTGATCTTACACTAAGAAAGGAATGTTCCAGGTAGTAACAGGAACCAGCTTCTGATTTGAAGTCATTTATCAGTCAAATGAGTCTCAAACCAACTTTAAATTATGTCAAAAAAGTTACTGAAACCCAGATTTTTGGTACCTTGAGACTCTTATTGACCTTACAGAAAGGTTTGTGGGCCATTTATCAAAAAAGGATGAAAATAAAAATAAAAGTTCAAATATATAACTTTCCACATCAAACAGAACCCAAATCTTTATTTGAATCACACAACACCACAGATGAGAATCAGCAAGAATATACAGCATATGGCACATGTGTGTATTAATTTCAAAGGTGGTTATAATGTGAAATGCAGTTAATTTCTTATAACTTAGCACATTGAGCATACAATGATGCACAATATATTTTTTAAGTAAGGTCAGGGAGAACGAACATTTGCGTATTTATTCTTGTACGAAGTTTAATGCCTGTTCGACTTCTTTTTACTTTATTCATTAGCTGAGTTTGTGTCTGATTTTAAAAATGTAATTTCCATAACCTCAATATGATTGTAACTTTGTAAGTGCTGTATGACTTCGATATCGGGTTTTAAATTGCGGTGGTAAAGCTGTATGTAAAGCCATAGGAATTAGTTGTTGCTTATTTAAGAATTAATTGCAAAATTTTGTGATTTTTAAGCTTAATTTTTTTTAAAGTTTTGAACTTTTGAATTCTTGAAATTTTGGAATTTTTGAATTTTTTGAATTTTTAAAATTTTTGAATTTTAGATTTTTTAAGTTTTGGATATTTTTAATTTCATTTAAGTACTAAGAATCATCTGTAAAATCTGTAAAAAACAAATAAAATCGAAAAAGATTCTAATAATCCGTTCTCACATTTCCAAATTCCTTCCATCCAAATTACATCAATTAACCCTCAACCGAAGATTCATCATTAAAGAAATCAGTTAATCATGACTCAATCTATAAATATTTATATTCATAATCCAATGGAATGCAGATTTTAATTCTATTCAATTAACAGTTCTTTCTTCGTCATGTCTACATTTGGCAATTTATTTATTTTTCGACAGCGACTCATTGTCCAATGGAATTTTAAATTGATGAAAGGCAAGATGGTTAAGACAAAGGAACAATTGAAGAATAAATTTACAAATGTTTTGAGCATCTTTTTGTCTGTTTTAAAGGGTGTCCGAATAATTTAATAATAATAATAATAATAATAATAATAATAATAATAATAATTTGAAGCAGCCATCAAAGCAACCCCCCCCCTCCCCCTCTTACTGTGGCATAGGGTTGGAGCCAGAATTTTTTTGTGTAGACAGGAAAGTTTCTGTAGACAAGGGGGGGGGGTTGATTTTTTTCTCAAAAAACCCTTGGAAATTCAAGAATTTTTTTCAAAGGGTGGGGGGGGGGTTGCTTTCATCCCACCCTACTGGTTATACCCCTGCTGTGGCATTTATGTGCATCATCACACCAGAACAAAAATGCGCCTTATTTCCAACACCCAAAAATTTCCTTACTTGTAAAAGCTACACGCACAATTTTTTGCGAATACAACAGCTTATTTACATAGCCTGCTAAGCAGCTTTTGTAGGAGCTAGCTTAGATAACATTCCTTTCATCATAGATCAATTTCATATCAAACATTATCAAGTAAATTATGCGGAACATGACGTCACACTTTTACCGTATTTTATCAATAGGCAAAGTACAACTTCTAGTGCATATACATCCACAATGTGGGATCGCGCAACACATTCTTCCTGTATCAGTTCTTATGCATTCTTTTTTTTTGCACGATTTAAGAGCTAAACGGTTGAGAGTAGGCAACTCATTCTCAATATTCCAGTACGTAGAAAAGAAAAAAAAAATATCTTGACTTCTTCTTTCATTCTATATCGAATCTTTCATGTTATAAGAATAAGAAAATATTGTGTGTATATTTCTTTCTCTTTCCTATCACAACGTCAACTCGTTGGGGTCAACGAACGTACTTTGCGGCAACTACATATGCAATTTTCGCTCACATGTGTTTATACAGACTTGTGAACTTTACGTCTGTATTGCTCGATGAGCGTTCTCCGTTCTACGATCGATGATGTGATATTTAAATTCTCTTCATTTTTTCTTTCTTTTTCTCTTGAAGAATAAAATAAAAAAAAATTGTAAATTTTTTGAAAAATTAATTTTATGATTGATAATTCAATACGGAAAGGCTTATGTTCGATTGATTGTTTGGAAATGGCATTTTCTGAGGTGCTTATTACAATGAAAATAAAAAAAGGCACTTTTGATGATTCGAGATTAAAGATCTTGAGATGTTGAAAATTGATTTTTTTTTTGAAAGTTGTTTTTAATTGAAACTTGAAAGATCTTTTTTGAAGAATTTCTTGACGAGAATTGTCAAAATGTTTAACATGTGAGTCTGTTGAGTGACTTCTCATCTGGTATGGAAATTCTGTAAATTCGACTACACACTTATTAAAGAATTTTTAATAAAATGCAGAAAATTTGATGCTGGGTTATAAGTCCAGATACAGAATCTTGCACAGAAAATTATGAGTCCAGAATATTAAAGTCACTGACGGTTTATAAGTCCAGATACAAATTGCACCTGGCAAAAAACCTGTGCAGTTCATAAGTCTAAGTACAAATACAGCTTTGATTATTGAATTTTGATTATTAAACTAGATTTTGCAACAAAGTTGATGTCTAGTTGAAGTGAGCAGCATAGACCAATAACTTTCCAAAGTAGCACAGTACTTTATAAATGCGATTTAGTGTGACACGAGACACTATTGTGCTCGGTCATACAGTTCGAGAGCCACTGTCCTAGACAATACCTAAGGCTAGTTGTGAGAGCTATTTTTGACACTAGTCTCAGATAATTGTATTGTTGGACATCGAATTTCAATCTCAGGTGCCTCAGATAGCCCATGAAGCTAGCCTTTAACAGAACAACCCTAAGATTTTCCAGCAAAAAGTTGTTTAATAAAAATAGACAACCTATCAATCCAGCAGCATTTGGTTACGATTGCAGATACTAAGATCCAACACAGGACAATTTAAAATAATATCACCAACATAAAATCACACAACAACTAAATCAGAAGATAAAAATAAACAATTCAATTAGAATCAAATGACAGCATCCTTTCCTCAATGAAAATTCCTTTAAATGTCTAATAATATTGGAATCAAATCGCAACATGAAAAGTATTAGAAGCAAATAAACAAGACAATAATAAGGATTTGAAGGAATGAAACATCATTAAAATGAACAAATGAAGTCACAACGATGAATGGAAGGAATCAGATGCGTAAATTCTCTCTAGGGATGGCAATAATTCTAATGAAATGAAATTGTCCATTATTTTTGAAAGGATTTGTTGGGTCGTCGATGACAGCAACTGAAACTGTATAAAAGCAAGAACGCGAAGGAAGTCCGTTCCATTTTTAACTCGATATGCAATCGGAAGCTATCGAACAAGAAAGTTTTTTGAGTTTTTAGAAATTTTTTTAAGTTTTTTTTCTGATAGAATCGGAATTAAGCAATAGTTTTTGTGTATACAAATAGAATCGGAATCAAATGACATAACTTTATTGTAGAAATATCAATAATAATTGCATTAGAATATCATTTACTTTATTATTTATTGGAGTCCAACACTAGTGAGCTGTAGAATAGAACAGAACATAACTAATTTTTTGAATCCTTAGAAGTGCTTCTTTCAGTTTTACTTACAAAATAAAAAAAAATTATTACATTTTAATTCATTTTATGTGAAATTTTTATCCGGTCAACATCACAAAAATAGTTTTTCTGATAATTTTTTTGGATTTTAATTGATTTTTGTGTTGGGAATAAGCAATTAGTGATAAAAATGGATGTTAATGAATATCGAGTACGAGGTGAGTTTTAGAATTGTTGTGAATATTTTATTGGCTTTTTGTGGACTAAGAAATTATTAAATAAATGAGAATTTGAATTTTTCTAATTTAAGAATTTGGAAAATTTTAATTTTTAAAGAATTTTCAACATTTTCTCAATTAAAATTTAAATTTCACATTTTTAAGAACTTTTGCAACTAAAAATATCCACAAATCCCATCCTTTCCCATCCTATTGACGCCTTACTTTCTACACTTTCTATTTGATACAAATTCATATTTTTAAGCAATTCAAAATATATCCCAAGTGTAAAGTTTCAAACAAGTTTTCATTTTTGGAAAGTTTTTTGCAAAAAAAAAGCTATAAATTCACACTATGAGGGCTTTACATAATGAATATGAATAAATGATTTGGATTACAAAAATTTATTTGATGAGAAAATTGATGATACCAAGATGATAATGTTGAGAGTTTTTGTAAGATTACAGATTTGATTATGTGGGCTTGTTAATTTGAAAATTAGGGAAATTTTGATGTAAATTAATTAAGAGATGTGGAACTAAATGTTGAAAAATTATTAACATGAATATTCAGATTTTTTAATTGATAAGTTTTAATAAATTTGAAATTTTCAAATTTTAAAAAGTGCAATTTGGTAGTTTTTCTAGAAACTTCATCAAAAGTTTTATTAAAAATCGTTTAAATCAAGCTACAAAGCTTTTTAATCATTATCAGATTTTTTTTATAATCAAATTTTAAATATCAAAACCACACATAAAGACCTTACTAAACCAAAAAAAATAATCATGACATTCAAGACTGCCCAAGACCTTCAAATTCATTCAAAAAATATCGCACACGCACAAAAAAAAACAATTTTGCTCAGTGACTACGCACAAAAGTTTTCTTTCCGGCTTTCGCATTTCTATTTTAAATATGATTTTTATTCGCATAAATCAAACATATAATTGATTTTTGATTGAATTTTAAGTTTTTAAAATATTTAAAAATGAAGCCTTTGAGAACTGATTTAGTGGGAATATGAATGGGAATAACTTGTTTGTGGAGCTTAACATTCTTAACAAATCATGTTAAGAATTAATTTTTACAAAATTGAATTTTAAAATATAAAAAAATAAATAGAATTTCATAAAAGAGAAATTATGTACCCCCCCCAAAAACAAAAAATCTCAAAATTCTAATCCGAATTCAATTTAATTTAAAAACTTTAAAAAATAAATTTTCTCTAAACAAGCAATTTGCATACAAATGTCTCATTTCCTCTATCTCCTTTGGTTCTGTTCATAAATGACGTCAATCAAAAGACAAGATTTTTATACCCCTAAGCTTGGGGAGACTTATCTCAAAATAGGTATGAAGGAAAGTTCTTTTCATTGAACCATCACAAAATTCCAGACCTTTTCTTTAAATATCTTACGTAATTTATAAACAGCTCCTTAAAATATATAAATTACAATTTTTTATTACACAAATCCTTTTCCTTTTTTTTACCACAGGGAAAGAAATGGTCGACTACATTGCAGACTATTTAGAAAATATCAGAGATCGTCATGTATTTCCTGCTGTGCAGCCAGGATATATGAAAAATTTACTACCTGAAACGGCGCCAGATCATCCAGAAGAATGGGAGTCAATTTTCAATGATATCGAGCGAGTTATAATGCCTGGTGTTGTCAATTGGCAGAGTCCTCATATGCACGCATATTTTCCAGCATTAAATTCATTTCCATCGTTACTTGGCGATATGTTGGCTGATGCTATAAATAGTCTTGGATTTACTTGGGTGAGGAAAATCTAATAAATATTTTATTGGGTGACTTTCTTGATTAATATTATTGTATTTCTAAGGCTTCATCACCGGCATGTACAGAATTAGAAATAATTGTTATGAATTGGCTTGGTCGAATGATTGGACTTCCTGAATCGTTTCTTCATGTTAAAAATGGCAGAGGTGGAGGTGTCATACAAACAACTGCAAGTGAAGCTACTCTTGGTAACGCAATTCAATTACTTCTTTAAGGAACGAAGATTAAATATAATTTCACTTCTAGTCTGCCTTCTCGCTGGACGAACCAAAGCAATTAGGAAATTCCACGAACATACCCAAGGATTTCAAGATGCAGAAATTAATGCAAGACTTGTGGCTTATTGCTCTGATCAGGCGCATTCAAGTGTCGAAAAGGCAGCTCTAATCGGTCTCGTGAGAATGAGATTTATAGAAGCAGATGAGCACTTGAGCTTACGAGGTGGTGCACTGAAGGAGGCAATTGAAGAGGATATTAGGAATGGGTTGATTCCCTTTTGGGTAATTTTTCATATTTCAATTTATTTTAAGTCTCAAAACAAATTTTTTATTAAACTTTCTCAGGTGTGCTGTACATTAGGTAAGTTCATATGTCCTTTAAAGACATTTCTGAGCATTTACAAAAAAAATCTGAAATTCATATTCAGGTACAACTGGAGCCTGTGCATTTGATAATCTCGATGAGATCGGAGATGTGTGCAGAGCTTTTGATCTATGGCTTCATATTGACTCAGCTTATGCTGGTTCAGCTTTCATTTGTCCAGAATTTCGAGAATGGATGAAAGGAGTAGAGAAGGCAGACTCAATTGCATTTAATCCATCAAAATGGTTGATGGTTCATTTTGATTGTACTGCAATGTGGTGAGTTGTATAGGATGAATATTAAATAATAAAGGCTTGGCTGAATCAAAGATTCAAAATTCTTTAAACTGTTCTTATTAAGGGCGTAGGCTGCAGAATGTTCTGAATCAATACTATTGAAAATTGTTTTCTATTTTTCAGGGTAACCAATAGCGGTGCTCTCCATAGAACCTTCAATGTTGAGCCATTATACCTTCAGCATGAGAACTCTGGACTTGCGATTGATTTTATGGTAAGCAAATCTACAACTTTTTTCCTAAAATAATGCCTTAATTTCCTCGATCATTTCAGCATTGGCAAATTCCACTTAGCAAAAGATTTCGAGCCATCAAACTTTGGTTTGTGATTAGAAATTATGGCATAAGGGGACTTCAAAAACACATCCGTGAAGGTGTTCGACTGGCACAAAAATTTGAGGCTCTAATACTTGCTGATAATCGCTTTGAAATCCCAGCTGCAAGACATTTAGGTTCGTTTTACTTAATGTGAATTCCAGAGTTTAAAATTTATTATTTTCATCTCCAAAAAAGGCATCCAAATAATCTCCAGATTCTTTTCATTAACTTCTTTCATCTCATAAATTTCAGGCATGGTAGTTTTCCGGCTAAGGGGCGAGAATGAGCTGACAGAAAAGGTAAAGAAATTGCAGATTAAAAATAAATTTTAACAAGTTATTTTCTTCTTCACAACTTAACAATCCACGAAGCTCCTAAAGCGATTAAATCATCGAAGAAATCTTCATGCTGTTCCCGCATCACTTAAAGGAAAATACGTAATACGTTTTACAGTAACATCGACACATACAACAAACGATGACATAATAAAAGATTGGAACGAGATTCGATACGTTGCTTCGGAAATATTGGAAGAATCCAATGTGAAGATCGATAAGCGAGTGCTGCTTAAAGGTAAAATTTAATGAACTTTCTTTAGAGACACAAAAATGCACTGAGATAATGATGAATGGATTGGTAAAAAGCGAGGAAATTCCATTTTAAGATTTTAAGCTTTTAATTATATTTTAAAATTAATGAAAATTAAGAATCTTATTTTATTAATCGAATTGAGAAATCTTTTTGAAATTATTTGGATGTATGTCAAATGTCTTAAGCATGAGTGAGGGATTGAACTCTAAACCTAGTCGTCCTTAAGGGTGCGAATCCTTTACATAATGATTTAAAATTTAAGTAATGATAGAAAAATTGGATTCTGATAGGAATCGAACCCACGTTCTCACAAAACTGTTGGTTACAGATTTAAAGCATGTAGCCTAGGGTTGGGCAGAATCGTATTCGAATATATTCGAATATAATGTGCGCACATAAATACATTGTAGCCTAACCACTCGGCCGTAGAGTACTCAAACTCGCACTCCCAGATTTGCCTACATAAGGCTTGTTATGTTAGATTTCTTTCAGAAAGCTACAGTTTACTAAAATTTAAGTTTTATTATAAGGGCCTTAAGTACTAAGTTAAGTTAAGGTGTCAAGAACTAAAGGAACCAGTGACAAAAAGGGTTGAAGTTGTTAAGAGTTTATTGAAAATTTTTAGATTTCGACCGCCATAAGCCCTACTTCTAGCTACGTCACTGGGTATATTTTAAATTCCACATCATTATCTCAAATTTTTTTATTCCCGTACATAAATTCCTCCTGCACCATGCACAGCTAGTAGTCATTATAATTTAATTTGGCATCATCTGAAGCTTCCATAACCTTATTATCATTTAATCACTAAATCATCAAATGAAATGAGATTATAACGTCCTCACACAATCCACATTCGATTTTGATTTTAAGATACACGCGAGAAGAACGAAGCTTTCGGTTCGAGTCTCTTATTAGCCAACTCACCAATGTCACCAAAAATAGTCAATGGTAGTTTTGCAGCCATTATTGATGCTGATGAATTTTTAGCGAAAGCATATGCAGGCATACGAATTGCGGTATGTGTTCTGGTTAACTTACGTGACAAAATATTAAATTATAGAAAATAAAATATTCACATGCAGAACCAAGACTCGCCCGCCATGAGAAGACGAGTTAGAGGAATTTTAATGTCTGGTAGACAATTCTCACTTGACAGTCGTATGGATCTTGCAATTCAAGGTATTGAGCCAATTAAGGTAAATAACGGCGCAGAACAAGCAATTGATGAAAGTGACGAGAATGTTTGTCAGGAAGGTACGAAGGCAAGGTAGCGTAGAGATTTGTTAACAAATTTAACTAGTTGTTCCTTTAGATTTATAAATTATTTTGTGGTAAATTCACGCTCGAGTCAATTGTAGAAAATAATTTGGCAAGTTTTTAATTATTCCTGGATATTTGAGGAATTTTGAGGTTATAAAAATTTAATGCTAATTTAATTCGAAACAGGTTATGAATACACGCCAACTCAATCTCCAAACCCGAATCACCAAAGCACTTCTTCCAAAGACCTCGCTGCAAATCATCACAAAGTCCATAAGAAGGTAATTATTTTAACGGTTTTTTAAAATTCAAAAATCTTCTTTATCGATTTGCTTGAAATTTGACATTCTTTGTCATTTCCAGGACCATAATTCATCATACTTAAGACTCGTCAACAAAACCGTAAACTTTCAAGATAATCCATCACCAAGTAGCTCATTTAAATCAAGTTTAAACAGTATCGACGAGAATAATTCAACAGATAAATTCAGTGACTTTCAATTCACCGGCAAGGGACCCAATGACTTCTATACAAACTTTTTGATGGATAAACGGCAATCTGAACCAGCCATTCGATTCTCGTTTTATAATAAATTGTTTGACATGGAAGATAAGTCTCAACAGTTAGCACCGCTGAAGGATTTTCGGAAATATTCACTTCCGTTGTCTATGGAAGCTTCATGTTCTGAATCATCTATTTTATCTGCATTTATTTCATCTTCGTACACATCTTCAACTCTACAGGGATGTGCCAAAAAAAGCAGGAAAGATCAGAACGCCAAAATTAAACTTACAATCAACGACAATGAACGGAATGAATTGTCATCTTCATCATTCGAGTCCATATCACCTATTGATGGATATCTTAGTGACAATTCATGTCTAATCCATAGCCACAATCACCAATTTTGGACTAAAACTGAAAATCGATTCAGCGATGATTTCGATAATGTCATGAGTGATAAGCAAAAGTCATTGAATTTTTCATCTAAACGTGAAGGAAGTGTCGATGATGTTGAAACTAAGAAAATTTGCAAAAAATGCGGCCACTGATACTTTAATGACCAAATACAATATACTGATCTCAACATGACTAATCAGCTTGCTTGATTCTTTTACTTTCATCCCCGTTCAAAAGCCATTTAGATCAAAATAGGAAGTAAAGATGGAATTGCAAGCTGATTGAGTCGTTATTATTTTTGTAGGATATAAAAAAAATTGTAAGTTCTGAAAACTTTAATGTTAAGATATAAACTTCAAAATGACTATGCATAGCTAAGAACGAAAGTGTATGAAGCTGATTAATTTAACTTTGATCAGTTCCACAACTTTTGTTCAAGATAAAGATTGTCAGAAAGTATGCAGCAAAATTATAATTTTCGGAAGTTCTGCAAATTAGGAAGCCATCAATGGCTCAACTTCAATCAAAATTTCTTAAGAAAATCAAGAAAATCCAACTTAAAGGGAAAATGTTGTAAAATTAACTGTTGATATCCTTAAAAATGTTTTCATCCCTAAAATAAATTTTGATTGAATTTTTGAGGCCACATTAATAATATCCAAAACTTTCGAATTCTTAATAAATTTTAAACAATGTCAAAGGTTATTTTGAAAACTCTATAATCCATAAAACCCCAATTGTAAATTTTTGAAATCCTATGAAAAAATCTCAAAATGCTGCTGTGCAAATCAATAATAATTAGCGAAGGGATTCTTTGATTCCTTAAAATTCCTTGCTTGTCCAATTTCTGTAATTAATTTGAATAAAATTATTTTTGTTTTATTCACACAAAAAAATAGTTTTTCTTTGGAACTGGGAAAAATTCTAAGACTTGAAGAAGATTTTTTAAGAAAATGCAAGTCAAAGGAGCGATGAACAGAGCCGAGTTCAAATCCCCAAAAAATTAACAACAAACAGTTCAATATTTATCAATATTTTACGGGTTTATTAAATAATTTTGTATCCATAATTAATTTCTAATACGTTGATTTAGTAAGTGATTGAGTGCTTTTGTGTTAAATTAATTCATTCCCATCAAGGAATCAAAAGTCTTTAAAGTCAACCTGATTCAATTCGCAAGTTAACATCCAAAGCTTTTTATATCCTCGATTCCCCCCGTGTAGATCTTACAATAGTGAAAACCTTGAAGCTAGATTTCCAAAATTTATTGATTAAAATATTAGAATTGTCCTTGATTGAAGTTTTGCTGTTGTTGATTTTGCTGCTGATTCATTGGCATCGTACGTTGAAGTTGCGCAACAAGTGTTGGAGTTTGTGGCTGCATATTTCCACCTTGATTTTGTCCCATATTTTGCTGTGGTCCCATGCCTGTAAAGATATTGATTTTGAAGAAATCAAATTATTATCATTGTAAAGAACATCCTAGGCGTGGATGCTTCGAGGTTTTAGGTCTATTTTCGTATTTCTAGAGTTACAATTAACGAAAATATTCCCTGACATCTCTAAGTCTCCAGAACTAAGAAAAATCAATTCCATTTTTCTATTTACAATCTTCCTGACCTTGCTGATGTTGTTGCTGTTGCTGTTGCTTCATTATCATTTGTTGTCTCATTCTTAACCCCTGGAACTGTTGAGTAGTTGGATTAACCATTGGCTTTCCACCTGGCTGCTGACGATATGGAGGAAGTGGACCTCCTTGTGGTCCAACATTCATATTCGTATTCATAGTGACATTTGGTGCCTGCTGATGCTGTTGTTGCTGCTGCTGCTGCTGTTGTTGTTGTTGTTGTTGCTGTAAAAATTGAGTTCTACGTTGTTGAGTCATAAAATCAGCATTTTGAATTCTTTGCTGAGCATTCACATTTGGATTATTTTGTTGGAAATTATTCATCATTCCAGCTTGTTGATTTTGTTGCTGATTCTGTTGATTCTGCATTCCTCCTTGATTAGCCATAGCTGGATTATATCCCGTAAAATTCTGGTTCATATTTTGATATTGATTTGGATTAAACATTCCAGCTTGTTGCTGTTGCTGATTACCAGCTACGTTTTGCTGTTGCATTTGTGCCTGCATCGTTCCCATCTGATTTCCAACATTCTGTTGTTGCATCATGCCAACATTTTGCTGTTGATTCATTGTATTTCCCATCATTTGATTGGCTTGAGGCTGTTGCTGCATCATAGCTGGATTTTGAGTATTTTGTCTTTGCATCATATTAATTTGCTGTTGCTGAGCCTGCTGTTGTTGAGCCTGCATTCCTTGCATACCTTGTTGAGCCATAGGATTCATAACATTCTGCTGATTCATCATTCCTTGATTCTGATTTGTATTCATCATAGTCTGCTGATTTGTAGTTTGCATCATTTGATTTGGAGCCTGTTGTGCGCCCATTTGCATTCCAGTTGTATTTCCCAACTGTTGATTTAACATATCCATGTTCATAGGTTTACCTGCCATACGAGGACGTTGAATCATCGGTTGAGTTGGACGTTGTGGCATTTGCTGTTGCATTTGTGGATTTTGATTTTGCATAATTTGCATTCGTTGCTGAATATTAAATGGAGCATTTGGGGCAGTTGGATGACGTTGGCGCATTTGAAGCATATTAGAAAGTGCCTGTTTTGATTGAGTCATTTGTGGACGCTCGTATTGATTAACCACTAAAGAATTATGGATGGATATAGAAAATTATTCAAATTAATTAATTTGGTCGAAAAGTGTGACGTGAGACATAAAAATTTAAATGAGAACATAAATACTTACTCTGTGGAGCAGGTGCCATATTAGTTTGAGCACCCATTTGAACATTTTGGTTATAAAACTGCTGATTTGTCACTTGATTTGGAACTTGCTGTTGTGGCTGTTGTTGGACTTGATTATAGTTATTCCACTGTTGATTTTGCGGACCCATCTGATTTATGTTCATATTCATATTCATATTTTGTTGATTCATATTCATTTGACCCATCTGATTCATCGACTGTTGTTGATACTGCATATTCATTTGTCCCATGTTTGGATTATTTTGACCCATTTGATTCATTTGCATTTGATTCATATTTTGTCCCATTCCACCCATATTCATCTGATTATTTATCATCATATTATTTTGCATCATACTCATGTTACCCATTTGCTGTTGCTGATTTGGATTAAACTGTTGTCCCATCTGTTGATTTATCATTTGATTTGGAATTTGTTGTTGTTGCATTATAGGACTAATTCCATGATTCGGTATTTGTTGTACCAATGGATTAGTTTGAGTTGGTGTAACTGATGCTTTAGGTTTTCTGGGTCTCTTCTGACCTTTACGTTTAGTTGTGCCAGGTGCAGCTGGAGATTCTACTGATGATGGTGTATCAGCCTTATCATCTCTTGTACTATCTTTCGATGGCTCTTCTTCAGCATCTTCTGGTGGCAATGGAACTGGATCATAATAGTAACATGTTGATTTCGCAAGACTATGTGTATGGTACTTTAATAATCTGTGGTTCTCTTCATAGCTTAATGGTTTTCTTTCCATCTTAACAGCACCAAACCATGACCATAATAAAGGCGCTGGATTCTTATGACCTTCTAATAGATCCCACATGCTTACTTTCTCCTTTTCAGTCACTCTTAAACCTTTCGTATCCATTAAACTGCCAACAGGTTCACAAGCAATCACTTCACATGTGTTTGTGCATGCAGCTTTAGCATGTGGAAGTAATTGTCTCACAAGCTTAATTGTAGAGTTGTTTTTATCAGCTAGTTCCTTTCTTAATTTCTTCATTAAATTCGTGTACAGCTTCTTATTTTCATCCCTTTCATTATCTGTTACTAGAGTTGAGTGGATTAAAGTTGTAAGCATGTCGAGCGCTGTGTAGAACAGTTCACTGTAAGAAATTGGTATCCTGTCAGGACTGTAGTTTAAAATTATGAGAATTAATTTGAAAATACTTACGAATTATTAATGAGGTCTATAACTCCCTGACTCATCAATTGAGCCAACAGCAATGCCCAGTCAGTAGTTGAAGTGGAATTCTTTTGAATTGACTCAAACATTCCACCAACTAACGAAAATCTCAATTGTAAAGCACTCAGCATTTCCTGTCGTCCAGTTGGATCATCAATACCACCAACATTTTCAAGTTCCTTATTTTGAAGGAACTGAGAGAGCTGAGAATGAAGTGACTGCAAAAGTCCTTCTTTTTGGTCATCCTGACCACGCAAGCAAGTCAGCACTAATCCAAGGAATGGCTGATTATCAATCTGTGGACTCTTCTTTCTTCCACTTTGCGAGTTCTCTGAATTTTCAGAGGACTTATTTTTAGTAGCAAAACTGTTTGTACTTTCAAGGACTTGTCCAGCAACTTTTAATATTCTTCCTTGTACTTCACTTGGCAGCTTACCAACTAAAGGTGCAACTAACCAAATCGGTGGTTTATTTTTCGAAAGTTTACGTTCCTCATTCGGAATGAAGACATCAATAGCAGCACGTGCAACTGTATCAAGCCATGCTGAAAATTCGGATGAATTACTTTGTGTCTGTTTATACATCAACTGTAGATCCAATAAAGCAATCCTCAATGACCATTGTTCGAGGTTTTCAAGAATCCTAGCAATTTGAGCTTTTTGATCCATATTTGCTTCAATTTTAGCATTCGTGTCTGGGTCATAAACGATCATATGAAGAAGCCTCTGTGCTTGCTTATTAGTCAGCATGTTATCAAGAAGAATCTCGTCTTTGCACATCTCATCGCAGTTTTTAAGACAACATTCGAGGACCCATTCTTGGGTGCAGATTTGTTTAAGGACATGATGAGCAAATTCTGATAAACTCGGAGTGTTTTCACTACTGTTGAAATTACTTGATGAGCTGTAAAATAGACACGATTATAATTTACATCCACAAGTTTATGAAATATCAACACTTACCCTAGATCAAGTCCCATATTATCATCATCACCAAGCATCCCCAAATCCTCCCTAGTTCCAAGAATGTGACTCAAATCAATTGGTCCACTCATACTTTTCGGTGTGCTTCCTGGATGAACAGGCGTATTAAGTCCACTCTTCTTCCCACTTCCATGTGAATTCTTATTAACTGTGGCATCAGCTACAACAAGAATCGCTTTTAAAACTGCCAAAACAGGTGCAACTGGAATATTCTTCTGTGCTCCACCAAGCAAAAGTCGATCGCAACTTAACTTTATGTTGCTATTCATTGGACCAACACTTTGAATCGGTGATGTGCTTACAGAGTACATTGAAGCTTGTGGATACTCAATAGCTTGAAATAGTCTTAAGAGAATATGACAAGTGAGACGAGCACTTGCTTCTGCTTCATTTGTTAAAGTTTCATTTCTGCATGAGAGAAGCAATGCTGGAAGAGCTACAAGTGCTACAAAATCGACTAATGAGAAACATTGACGAGCTGGAAAGAGGAAAGAAAGTTTTAAAATTAATTGTTGGGTTTTTGGAAGTAACAAGCCAACTCACCGATTAAAATGCATGTAAACACAGCAATAGAATTGTAAATATGTACATTCTGTAGATCAACATTATTCAAAATCTCCATATAATATCCAGTTTCACTTTTTGTATTACATAAAGCCCCAAGTGCTCCACACCATTCAGCACTTAATGAGTTGCAGCAAGCTGTTAATTCTGCACACATAATTGCAATGTCATTCAGCTTGTCATTATCAGATTCTCGACAAACAGCTATAAGTGCATTACATACAAAGCTGTATCGATTCAGTGGCGATTCACTAAGCTGTCGTCCCCAGCTTGATTCAGTTTTTCCACCACGTTTGGGATTTGCGAGAATTTCACTCATAAATTGTGGATTATATTGTTGCGGTGTCGGTGACAGCTTGATTGGCGCATAAATAGTTTGTTTAATTTTTGGATATGCATTATGGAAAGGTTCAGATGGTGGTTTTGTCCTCAAAATAGAGCATGCCAAATAAATATCATAAAGATATGCTAAAATGCATCTTTCAGCAGATGTACAATCGGACGGATTGCTTACATGCTTGACTACTTTACAAAGTCCTTCAAAAACAGCCGTCGTTTGTTCAGGCGAAAGCAACAAGCAGCTATTATATCGTCTTAAGATTCCAACAACATACAAGCTTAATGTTGTCGTGTAATTTTTAATTAAGTTTGAATTTTTAGACATTAATTGTGCTTCCACATCTGGCAGTTCCTTTAGAATCTGAATACACATGTCAATCACTCCATAAATATTCAATGCAACTTCCATTAAATCAAAAAGGAATGCAACATGTTCAGCCACTGGTAAATAGTTGGAATTTCCATTTGCGAAGCTATTCAGCATCTCTTGAACAGTTACAGCACATTGCCATGTTACATAATGTTGATCAAAATAGCACATTGATTGACATTTATTGAGAGTTGATTCAAAATTGAATTCACTTCTTGAATGTTTCTTGACCTTACCACCTTCATTCACGTCGATGCTGAACTTCTTACTGAATAATTTACAAATTTCTTTCGACATTTTCTTTACGGAATGTTTTCGTTCATCACGCTCCTTTCCAACACCATAGAGCAGAACATAGCGTTGATTACAGTCATGTTGGGATGCATCGTCTTGGGACAAAGGAAAATGCAATGTATATAGATAGTGACGACATGCACCAGCATTTGAGGATGATAAATTTTTCTCATTCGTGATTGATGTGATGTTTGTGAGATTTTCATTATCCTTTGGACTATCTGGGGCATCCATTGAGTTCTGTTGTCCATCCTTAATATTTTGGATGAGCTTTTCAAGATCATCATCAACATTTGAGTCATCAAATTCCTCAATTTTCGGTGGTCTTAAATCAATATCTGAAAAGAAATCATCATCACCAGTTGCTCCTGCATTTCCAGCTCCACTATTACTCAACTGCTGATTGACACTGGGTGGAATACTTTTGTTTGCAATATTGGATGCAAATGTTGATGGTGGATTAAGTAAATCTCCTCGAGATATTAGCGTGCACATGTATGCATCATGCGAGAAAACATCATTACGTATCAATTCACTGAATAGATGAACGAGATTCTTAAAATGATTCTTATTCTGCGAACTTCCATTTTCCTCTAACACTGGAGCTGAATCAAGAAACTTTAAAAGAATTCCTTGGAATATCGGTGGTCCACTTGATCCAAAATCTGAATCCTTATCATCACTATTCTCATTTTCATTTGATAATACTTCATTTTGTCTTTTGTCTAAGAGTCTTGCCACTGCCATTGAGCGATGTTCACCCCACCGATGAGTCGATACTGCCCATTCACAAAGAATTTTTACAGTATCTTCATCTATGTTTACGTCCTGTAAGAATAAAAAGAATAATGTAAATTGTTGGTTAGTATTTTAAAGTCTGCATAGTCATTTATGAATCTACTTACATATTGGAACTTATGGTCTTTGTTGTCATTACCCTGATCTTTTGATGGATCAGGCAATGACGAAAAAACCTTAGCATAAAGTGTATCTAACGAGTTATTACTATCAATCTTATCGAAAAAGTAGCTATCGAGTGTATCCAAAATTGTCAGCAACTTAACTGTGGCATTTCCAGTTAGATTTTTCCATTTATATTTGTCCGCACACCATCGAGATTCAGCTTGTTGCGATCTATGTCTGATGTTCTCTTCAGCAAGTTTTAATTTCATTCGGAATTCATCATTATTTTTTGGAGACTTTTCAGGCATTGGTAATGTGGATGGTGAAACTGGTAAATGATCCAGAGGACTTCCAGTCAATACAGATGGACGATTTTCACCAACACCACTCCATATAAGAGATGTAGGACAGTCGAGTGTGATAACTTGAAGGATGCAGCTAAGTTGTAATACTGTGTCACGGTGCATTGAGCATGTCATGTACTCCTCTAAAGCCTTCTCGTATGGAGTCATGTATTTCTCAACAATTTCACCATTTTTATTTTCCTGATCATTTTTTGATTTATCATCAAAATTTAAAAAATTCATCATGTCATTGAGCATCGATGAGAGCTTTTTAGCAGTCAAATAAGCTAACTTCCTCGACAGTCTTTCAGAATTAACAAAATCTTGCATATAACTTAATGTTAGTGGCAAATAAAGTTTCAGAATCCCTTCCTCATTAGGTTGTGTTCTTAATTTATCCAGGAGATCAAGAACCCAATTGAGGAACTCATGCTTGTCCAGCAATCCTTCCTCAAACATGTATTTACACAACTGCGTACTATAATTCCATTGTTTTAATGCCAATTTTTGCTCTTCTTGAGGCGTGGCTGGAATTGGAATTAATGACGACGTTGCACTAGCTGGACTAGCAAGAGGCGGTGGTACAGTCAATGTTGATCCAGATGATGGATTACTTGAATTTAAATTATTTGTATTACTTGTAGAGCTGTTTATAATTGATTTTTCTAGCGGTGGTCCTGTATGATAATATTCCATTAATTTGGGAATTAAATCCTTTAAAAATTTAATCATTGTGCCTGTCCATTCTGTTGCTGGATCTGGCATTTGTCGCTTTTTAATCTTTGCTTCAGATACAGCGACCGTATATGCTGAAGAAAGCTTGATAAACCAAGCCGCTCTTTGAAGTGTAACCTGATTTTCACAAAGCATTGCAAAAATTTCCTCTTTCTTATTAAAAGACGGAGCCTTCTTGGCTAAACTGCTTAAAGGCTTATTTCCAGCGAGATCTTTGAACCAATTGTCTAAAGTTTGCTTGGTTCGTTGAGTTACAGGCCAAAAATTGTCTTTTAAATTGTGTTTTTTACGCCCTGAATCAGTCAATGTTGAAAGTTCTTCTTTCTTTGCTAAAATTCCATTAAAATAAGCACCGACTTTGGAAGCAGTGACATTACAATTTCTAGCCGTCCCAAATTCTTCCTGAGGTTGATTTGATGCTGAAAATCCATGTTTTACATTTACGGAGCTTAGCTCATCTTCTTTTTGTTTTATTTCTTGGGGATACACGTCTGCAGGACCCAATTTTGGTCGCTTTAGAGGACGTTTCTCTATATAAGTCTCACTAAACATCTTATTATGCTATATTTTCACTATTAAGTCATTAAAAATGAATTTATTTCTAAAATTCAATGAGATATAAACTTTTTTGCTATTTTGATGTCAGAAAAATACACAAAGTGCATACAGAATGGAACTATCCATGTAAATGATGTACAGAATTTAAACAGCTGTTTTGAAACATTTTGGAAATGCGAAACATAAATAAATTACCTGAGACAGTTTGGAAAGTGAAGAAGCCGACTGTGTTTTTGTTTACTATTTACACATTGCATGCTTTTCTTGTGTGAATGGATTTAGATTGTTCGTTTTTGCGGGGATATGTGTTGGAACATAAGGATTGTTTCGTTTCAGTTTTGTTGCTGAGCTTTGATACTTTGTGCATTTATGTATGTCAGTAGGAGCAAATATTTGAAAATTCAGGTTTTTAAAGGTTTACTTATTCCAAAAAGGAGTTTTATTAATTTTTTGATTAATAAATAATTTATAATATAGTCAACATCTATTATGGACATAGGACTTAGGAATTATTTTATCATTTCATAAGTTTTCAGTCCTTGCATGCAAATTTGTACAAAAAAATTGTTATTTTTGGATGTAGATTATTTACAACATTGTTCAATAATAAATACATTTTCACGAGCATTTCCATAGAACAATGGCAAGGTTACCGCCAAAAAATAAATACAATATATTTCTAGTCTCGAACGAGACCTCAAATCCGAACCCCTCACCCACACAGCAATGCCAAAATGATCCAAACTTTTTATCCATTGACTCTTTCACTGATCTTGCAGCTTGCTCGTAATTTTGTGAATATTTCTCACATGCTGTTGTAATAATTTCAATAGCTTCATTTTTAATCTCTTCGTTCATGTCTGAATGCTGCAAAAATAAAGTTTTTAAAAATATGTCAGAACTGGCTTAAGCACCAAAGGAAATTGATAGGTTCCTTGTTCATTCATAAAATATAATATTTGTTTGTTTACGATTTTTGTATAGACATATGTTAATGTGGAAATGGAAATGAATGAAAGGCATGCATGATAATATTTGAAAAAACCTTAATGTTAAAGGTTAAGGCGCATTTTTTGGAATTTTAACATTTATATAGTTGCGTGGTATCATCTGGGTTTAGAAACTTACCCTTTCCCTTGAAGGTTTGGAGTCAAGGGGAAAACAACATGATGGGGAAAAATTGATGAGAAATTTATAAAATAATTTTTAAATCTGTTCTGATTTGTGATGTTTACGCCACTAAGGTGAGAATTCCCCACCAAAACTTTCCCCATCATGTTGTAATCCCCTTGTATAGAGCAAAATCAAATTACAAATGTTTACAGCTAAACTGACAAATCTTCATGAACTCTTCCAAATCACAAACAAAAATAAAGCAAACCGACCACGTTTACAACATAAAATTCCATCAAAAGCAAGCAGTTGAGACAAAAAAGGTAAGTTTTGTTGATTTTCTGACGATCGGTAAGCATGGATACACTCATAACTTAATGCTCATTATGTTCAATTTTCTTTTACGATTTTTATGAATCAATAGTTTCATTCATTCGAAGGTAAAACACACAAAAAAAGGGCACTTTGTATTCCCGAGCGGCACAAAGGCTCCATTTTCCTTCCATATGGAAGCTATACGGAGCCTCCATGTTCCACCCTCCATTTGAAAATCTTCCGAAAACCTTACTATCATGGAACTTTGACGGAGCCAAAGCTCCGAAAATCCTCCGTGGGACGTGCATTTATTAACACCAAATGGAAGTCATTTGAGAGGTTTTGATGGAGGATGGAGGATCCATTTGTGGTAGTCAAACGGAGGTTTAATGGAAGTATTTTTCAAAGGATTTTTGGTACGATTTTCCACGTGTTTTTCTATGTTTCGCAATTTTTATATCAAGATTTGTAGCTGTATTAGTGGACTTAATTAAAGTACACTAACACTATTGAAAAATTTACAACTTAATTTAATTAAGTCGCAACCACAGAAATTTCTAAGTCTCGATCACACGCGTGAGAAACATAAGAAATTATTAAAAATTTTCATACAAATTAAACGACCCCATATAATAGTGATTTCTGCATGCGCTTGTGAAGTATGTAATTTCATACAAAATCACAAAAAATTATCCTTTTTTGCTTTTTTAAAGCTTGAAATGAAGCAATATGATTCAGTAAAGCTTTTCGACAATATTTCAATCCATTACAGTAAGATCTGACCTCTGTCTTTTAAAAATTCAAAAGCACGAGTTTTTCGGTATTTGATTTAAGAAAAAGCGGAGTTCATATGGAATCCAAATGGAATCAATATGAAGGATGAAAAAATAACCCTCCATTTACTTCCCACATAGTGGAGGTGGCTTTCATATGGATTCCATATGGAGACCACCCTCCACCTTGTGCCGCTCGGGATTGCTATTGAAATAGGGGATGAATTGCGAAAATTGATTGATTGCTTGACATAAAGCAGCAAATTGATGACTGAATGAAATTGTAAGATTGATTACAATATATGTTATTTCTGTTTTATGTCAATTGTTGTGAAACACCGAAAAAATTGTGACTATAAAATTAACTTATATGAGGAAATTGATCTGATAATGTTGGAACTGCATGCAATCATTCAATTTATTTGTCACACGATTGATAATTGAAGATAGTCGCGGTTTTATTGAATGATGGAACTAAGTTCTTTGATTTTTTAATACCTTGACAAGTGGGTATGTGTGGACAATCTTCTTATCGCCTTCTGCTCCTTCTTTAGGTATGTCATCCATGATCAGCACGTTCTTCAAAAATAAATTTACAATTCCTCAAATTTCAACACCTGAACTAGCTTTCAATAAAATCCTTATCGATGACAAGACCACTCAGAACACTTTCGATGCACACGATTGCTGATTTACAAATGAAACTGTTCAGTTTGATGATTTTTGAAATTATTTTGCGCTTGCGTTTAGTTTTCATTCAACTTAGTAGCATTCTACATTGTTGATTCTTTTGTATGAATAGTCTGAATTCTCCTTTTATTCTGATGCATGCAAAGAGGGTTGGATGTATACTTTGAAATTGTTATCCTTTTGTAGTTTTTCTATATTTTGTTGCTACTGATATCGTGAATCGGAATTGTTTTATTTTCTGTCATGAATGTCTTTTTGTCAATCAGTGTTGCTAGTTGCTGCTAGCAATCTATAGAATGAAGAATCAGAAGTTGATTGTTGTGTCTAAGCAGAGTGAAAACATGGACATCGAGCTATATAGAGGCGAATCTGTTGATTTGAAAGTAAGGATTCGGGAGATGAATGTTTATTTCTCATATACGGTGCATCTACAAGCTGATATAAAACTCATTTGTTGAAAGAAGGTTCGATTCCTAACAGAGTTCGTTCTCTCAATCATTACACAATAAATCAGAATGAAACTGTCTTCCCTGCAACATTATCCTCGATACCTTGAAACCAAAAACTACTAAAAATAAATCACTAACCTAATACGATATTTGGAATATAATAGCTCTGATATTTAAGATTTATGACCATGACTTTATTGATCATTAAAAGATTTATTGATAAAAATTTATCGCAATTATTTAAGATTATTTTATTAATGCGCGTACGCTGCAGATAGCGAGTTGAATCAGATAACACAAGAAAATTGCTTACATTATTTGTTAAAAGAAATTCAGTAGATCGTGAGAAATTCGTGGCTGCACACACAACTTGATCAACATGCCAAAAAAATTATTTGTTACAATTTTGATGTTGAGCTGTCTTCAAGTTGTGATACTTGGTAATTAAATTGAAATTAATCTGGTTTTTAAAGAGTTTACAAATTATTTCCTTAATTGTCACATAAAGGTACAGGCACATCCACTGATGACAGCTTAAACATAGTCTCCACTGGTGAAAAAACAGCTGCTTACTGGTTAGCACAGGCAAGAGCAGCTGTTGAAGCTAAAGCAAATCGTGCTCGAAACACCAAAAAAGCTAAGAACGTGATTATGTTCCTTGGCGATGGAATGAGCCATCAAACGATTGGTAATATCTTAAAATTAATAATAAACTCTTGCGATTCTTAACATCCTCTCCCATTAGCTGCTGCACGACTTGCTTTAGGTAATGAAAACAAGAAGTTATCATTCGAATCATTTCCATCTGTTGGAAGTTCAAAAACATTCTGTGTTGATGTTCAAGTTGCAGACTCTGCATGTACTTCCACAGCTTATTTGAATGGAGTCAAAGCAAATTTCTTAACGATTGGAGTCAATCCAAATGCAAAGTATAAGAACTGCAATGATAATGTTGATCGCACAAAATGGACAAGCTCAATTGCTCAATGGTTTCAAAATGCAGGAAGAAGTGCTGGAATTGTCACAACAACGAGAATCACTCATGCATCTCCAGCTGGTGCTTTTGCTCACATCACAGATCGTAACTGGGAAGCTAATGTAAATGTGTCATCGGGTGGATGTGACGACAATATCGTTGATGATATTTCTGAACAGCTAGTCAACGGTGAAGTTGGATCAAAATTTAAAGTTATTCTTGGTGGGGGTTCTGAAAATTTTATTGATTCGTCATTTACTGAGCATGGAGTCAGTGGAATGAGATCAGATGGAAAGAATTTAATTAATGAATGGACATCTAAGAGTAATAAGAGAAGTTTCGTCCGTAATCGATCAGAAATGATGGCAGTTGATCCAAAAAAAGTTGATCAGCTATTTGGGCTATTTCATTCAGATCATATTCCATATCATTTGGAAACAGTCAGCAAGAATGAACAGTCAATTTACCCAACAATCACTGAGATGACAATGAAAGCTATTGACATGCTAAGTACTGACACTGATGGATACTTTTTGTTCGTAGAAGGTGGTAAAATTGACCATGGACATCATGCAACGCAGGCAAGATATGCAATTGACGAAACCATTGAGTTTTCGAAAGCTATTCAAGCTACTGTGGATAGAGTCAATCTTGATGAAACTTTAATTGTTGTGACAGCTGATCATGGTCATGTAATGAGCTATTCTGGAAATGCTGTAAGTTTTTATGATTTAATTGATTCAAACTTAACATTGATTTCTATTAGCCTCGTGGAAATGACATTTTCTCAACTGCTGGCACTGCTGATGATGCTATGAAGTACTATACATTATCTTATGCTAATGGACCAGGTAACTTGCTTTACATTTCATTTTTAAAGTCCTAGTTTAATTATTTAATGTCTTGTCCAGGATATTTCTTCAATCGCAAACCAGGTGCTCGTGTAGATCCAGCAACTCAACAGTCAACAGCAAATAGCTTTTTATTTCCAGCAATGGCTCCAAATGAAATAGAAACGCATGGCGGTGATGATGTTGGAATATTTGCGACTGGACCGAATGCACATCTGTTCACTGGTGTTATGGAGCAATATATAATTCCTCATAAGATGGCTTACATAAGTTGTGTTGGAAGTGGAACCACGTTGTGCAGTTAAAATGGTTTTCTTAGGGGTCGTTCAATTATGACGTCTGAAATTAACGGTCATTTTTCAAAAAAGAACATTAGATTTCCTGGAACTTTTATTGTTCTTTTCTTGCTGACCCCCCCCCCCCCCCCCCCCCGCCAATCAAAAACAAATTTGATAAATAAAATATTTTAATCCTTGACTTTTATGACTTTAAATACATGACCATGCCTAATATATTTCGCAGTGTTTGTGTCTGTTTTCTTTGATTTTTGGAAAGCTTTATTGTGAATTCTTTTTGTGGTAAAATTTTTCAGTACATCTAAGTTCCAATAGCTACAATTTACACGATCTTATGATATTTAACTTAGTTTCAGTTTTTTCAGTCCAAGCATGTCTTAATAATCTACAAAAAAATGCTGAAATTTCCAGTGGTTTATCGCTGACATGTCTTAGTCCAAAGAACCTGACAACTAGTAAATCACGAAAGTTCTAATTTCAGAATGCAACCTTTGATTGTTTTTATAATTCTTTGTTTCAATTTTAAAAGCCTATAAAGAAAGTCCAGGAAGTATCGACCTTATTTTTTTCTACAACATTCGACTTTGACGTCAATCAGTAATTTCTAGTACTTAAATTAGATTAAGTTATTTGCTAAATTGTGAACAAAAGTCAAAAAACTTTGAAAATAAACTTACAATTTTTAATCCTTTTGAGACCAAAATAATCTTTTAAATTTTTATCAATATTTTTCGGTCATTAGAGTTCTTTTATTTTCCAAAAATCCAATAATAAACATGTTGGCAAGGTAAGTGCGACAGGACTTATCACAAAGCTAATAAGCAATGCATCAAAAATAATCAAGTATATCTTAAGCCTACAAAAGGTGTCTCGAAGAATTTCTTAAAAATTTATTTCATTCGTCTGTTAACCATGGAAGTGACTGGAACTCTTTTCATTGCTTTAATTCTAATTTTTGCTGTATCAGCTGATGAATATCATCCATCAATTGAAATCAAAGATGCGTTAAGGAAGAAAAGTTTTGTTTCTGTGGAAAACGAATGGAATGAAGCACAAAAGATCCTTAAAAATCAAGAATCACAGTCAACCAATAAAAATACAGCCAAAAACTTGATTCTTTTTATTGGCGCTGGATTGTCAATTGTCACATCTGCAGCAACTCGAGTTTATATGGGAGGTGAGGAGGTTCAACTTGGATATGAAAAATTTCCATATTTTGGACTATCAAAAACATATTGTGTAGACAAACAAGTCGCTGACTCAGCTAGCGCAGCTACTGCACTTCTGTCAGGCATAAAAACTAATTTAGGTGTCGTTGGATTGTCAGCAAATGTTAATACTAGTCAGTGCACTTATGGTAGTCACGATTTAGCACATTCAATTATAAAATGGGCTCAAGATGCTGGGAAATCAACTGGAATTGTCTCAACAGCTCGAGTGACAGATGCGACTGTAGCAGCTGCCTATGCACATTCACCGAATAAAAATTGGGAAAATGATCAAGCTGTTCCAACAGCATGTAGAAATCAAATTAAAGACATTGCTGATCAACTTGTTAATTCCGAGGAAGGAAAGAAGTTGAATGTCATTTTGGGTGGAGGTAGACACAATTTCATTACCACAGCTACGACTGATGATGAAGGAACCAGAGGATATCGACAAGATGGACGAAATTTGATTAATGAATGGATGACAAGTAGAAGTAAATCAGGCAGTGCTAAATATATTTGGAATAAATCACAACTTGATAGTATTAATTCAGCAACAACAGATTATTTATTGGGATTATTTGAGGCTGATCATTGCATGTATAATTTGGATATCATTAGTCAAGGTAAACAAAGCACGGAACCAAGTATATCTGACATGACAAAAACAGCTGTGAATATTCTCAAGAAAAATACAAATGGATATGTTTTGATTGTTGAAGCTGGCAGAATTGATCATGCAAATCAGAAGAACCTTGCACGAAGAGCTTTGGACGAGACTGCGGAACTTTCAAAAGCTGTTGATTTAGCAAAAAGCATGACAAATTCGGATGATACATTAATTGTAGCTACTGGAGATCATGCAAATGTTATGACTATATCTGGATATTCATCCACTCACAATGACATCCTTAAATATTCAAATATAATTCCTGTTGCTTATGATAGAATGCCATTTGAGACATTAACATATGCTAATGGACCAGCATATTCAAAAACTTACGGACCAACAGGAAGAAATGACATAACAAATGACAACTTTGCAGACATTAATCGTCAATATTCAGCAACAGTTCCTTTAGCATCATCAACAAATGGTGGAGAAGATACAGGAGTTTATTCCAGTGGACCGTGGTCTCATTTATTGACTGGAAGTTTTGAGCAAAATGAGATTCCAGTTGCTATGGCTTATGCTGCTAAAATTGGACCCTTTAAAAAATAAACTATTGTGAATTTTTGTCGAGGGGATGTAAAAATTTTAATAAAGCAAATTGTCATATATTCCTGGATTTTGGTCACTTAAGGGTACGCGTTATATTAAATTGAGTTTAAAATTTAAAAATTTTTTTAAACAAGAAAAAGGAGGGAATGCTTATTTTAGTAGCTCTTTTACTCATATTCTTGTTCTGGGCTCCTTTCTAGGGCTATATTAAAGTTATTCATGGCACTCTCCCTTCGAATCACAAAAAGAAATCCTTAAAAATGAAGTATAAACAGAATTTAAGTGAATAGGATACAGGCACCTGCCTGTATCACAACCCTGGGATAGAGTACACAGGGAAGCTCTATAACCCGTGTTCATGACTTCATAAATCACAAAACTTAAAATTCATTTCAATCAAGTCAAAAACGGTATGATATATTTCAAATATTTTATAAAAGCTTTTTTCATCATCAAATTCCTGATAATGCGTACACAAGTAAGCAATAGTATCAAAAATATGAATGAACTCTTCAATACATTCATACTGATTGTTGCTGAATCATTTCTTAAATACAAACAATTATCACGCGGACTGGAATGCACTTGCAGCATTTTCGTTTCAATTTATTGGCACGATTCAGCTGGAACTTTTATTCTTTAAATTTTGCTTACAAAACAATTAATTGACAATTTTGAAAGTGAAGCTATAAAAAATTTAATGACAATAACCTTTTTGTAAAGTTCTGTACAAATGAATTGTTAACAAGACATGATACAATAAAATTTTATAAGATTGACTCGACACTTTAGATAAGAAAAAAATATAAAATTGCAATAAAAAGAACAAATCGAGTTAATCAGAGCTAGATAGCATTTACAGCTACTAAATGATTAAAGCACAAAAACGTGATATTTATAAATACACAAGTGCTCGATCACGAGACGAAAACATTTCCTATCACATCGTAGAGGCTTGTCTATCATGCATGTCGTGACATTTCTCATATTTGTCGTAGCTATTGCACAGAGCTTCTTGATAAGCTAAAATAAATTAAATTTTTGTTCTCTCATTCTCACTTTAAAAAAGAGACAGTAAAGTGCCGAGTCTAAGCGATGATAATCGTATTGTGCTGATAAATCTAAAACGTTTAAGTACAAAATTTTATTAAGTATCTTTCACATTCGCTTAATTTAATTAGTTGTGTGAGAAGATTTCAAGCAGAAACATCGAAATGTCGTTCGTCAAAGTCTTGATTTTTGTGTCGTGTGCTGTGATTGTTAGTGGTAATCCAACGCCGTTTTTTGATGGTAAGTTAGCTGCTGTGAGATAATTGGTGCTAGGATTATGAATCAGATTGTGATGATAAAGGAGAATTAAAGTGAATGTTTGCAGTTGTAGCTTTATTTTATGTCTGCGAAGTGTTTACAGTCAGATTTTTTTTAAAAAATATTTTTTGGATTTACATTGAGACATAGAAACTTAGGTCTAATTTGGGGAATTTTGCAGAATTTCTCTGAGCAAGTGCGTGGACAGAACTTGTGATCAGCATTATGAAAATTTCTGTCTACGCCTAGTTTTAGTAATCTCACAACTCAATCCATCATTTTACAGAAGACCGGCTCTCAGACATTGGTATGCATCCGCATATGCATCAAAAATCTCACGAAAGCCACAAAAAGATCAAAAGAAGCTTCCAAATTGATCAAGCTGAGTTCACAAACGCTTACTGGATCAACAAAGCAAAAGATACAGTTGACACTAAAGTAAAGACAAATGTGAACACAAAGAAAGCTAAGAATGTGATAATGTTCTTAGGTGATGGATTTGGACATACTACAATTGGTGAGCTTTGAAGTTTTTGCTTTTATCCCTCTTAAATTTATTCTAAAATTCTATTTTGTTGGATGCTTTTTAAGCATATAATTGAGTCCTAAAATCTTTCTCATTCCTGCAACTCTCTAGCTGCCACCAGAGTTTATCAATCAGGTGAATCATCAAAACTATCATTCGAAAGCTTCCCAAACACTGCTTCATCGAAAACTTACTGTGTTAATAGAGGCGTACCTGATTCTGCCTGCAGTGGAACTGCCTTCTTGCATGGAGTAAAGACAAATAATGGAGTTATTGGACTTAATGCAGCTGCAACCAGAGGAAATTGTGATGACACGAATAATGAGGAGATTTATACAGATTCAATAGCTTCATTGTTCCTTAAAGATGGACGGAATGCAGGAATTGTCACAACAACTAAAATAACTGATGCGACTCCAGCAGCTGCATATGCGAACATTGCAGAACGTAATTGGGAAGATAATTCAGGTGTCCTTAGAAGTAGATGTAATGATTCAGAGATTTATGATATTGCTGAGCAGCTTATTGCAGGTTCTGTTGGAAAAGCCTTGAAAGTTATTCTAGGTGGTGGATCCAGATTCTTCATTAATGCTACAGAAACTGAGCATGGAGCGCAAGGAACTAGAACAGATGGAAAGAATTTAATCCAAGAGTGGCTCAATACTAATTCAGATAGAACTTTTGTGAAAAGTCGAAAGGAATTGATGGACATAGATGTTAAAAAAGTTGACCAGCTTTTCGGGCTCTTCAGCACAGACAACATGCCATTCAGATTAGAAACTATTGAAAAGAAAGAAGAATCAATATATCCTTCATTAACAGAAATGACAATGAAAGCTCTTGATGTCCTTGAAGAAGAAGATGATGGATACTTCCTGCTTGTAGAAGGAGGTAGAATTGATCATGGACATCATGGGAATCAAGCTAAATTCGCAATTGAAGAAGCTCTAGAATTTTCTAAAGCTATTCAAGCTACTGTCGATAGAGTCAATCTTGATGAAACTTTGATTGTCGTCACTGCTGATCATAGTCATGTGATGACTGTTTCTGGATATTCAGTAAGTTTAAGGGTATTAAAAAGTCACTTTAATCTCTTCAATTATTTTTTTACAGCCAAGAGGAACTGACATTTTTTCGGCAACAAATAGTGGAGATGATGGTACGCCATATTTCACGATTTCCTATGCAAATGGACCTGGTAAGTTGATTCATCTCTAGCTTACTCTTACATCATTGACACCTTTCAATCCAAACAGGATTCGCAACTCACTTCAATTCAACATCCGGCCAGCGAGTGAATTCTCAAAATCTCGACACAACACCAATTAACTTCCGATTTCCAGCAACAGTTCCTTTAAAATCAGAAACACACTCTGGAGAAGATGTTGCACTATTTGCAGTCGGCCCAAATGCTCACATATTTAGAGGAGCTTTAGAGCAGAATCTTATCGCTCATATCATGGCGTACGCCAGTTGTGTGGGTGATGGCTTGACAGTCTGCAAATAATTGATTAGCTTTAAATTTAATTGACTGTTTTATTTTAAGAATTAAATTATTTTTATCGACAAATTCCATTCAGTTGTTTTGAACTTTTCTTTTTGGGTATTTATACACAATCTCAGTCATATCAAGCCTATCGGTTATTAAAAAATCGCAGCAAGGATTTAGTGATTTTGGTGATAAGAAATATTTTGATATCAGTGACTAGAAATTGGGGTTTTTATAAGAATAACTCAATCAGTGGACGAGAACAGTTTGCTCTTATAAATCAAAGGAATTGGAGGTGAAAATTAAGATTTAAAGTATGAAAGTTGCAGCATTGTTTTTTATTCTTGTGGCTTGTGCTTATGCTAACCCTAGGAAATATCATTATAGTAAGTATTTAGTGATCAGAGAAAATAAAAGTGAAAATAAATTAGACTAGATTGAAATTAAGGAAGTGACACTCAGGATAATTTGAAATGAACGAGCCTATAATTAATGGCTAGATTTAATTTTCTAGAACATTGTGAAACGACTCAAGGCTTTAGTTCCTTATTTATTAAAATTATACGGAACTATACAGTCATCATTCCTAATGATACTCAATAAATTTGAAATGACGTTCAAATTTCGGAGGGAGATGAGGGAGGAGAGGATCAAAAAGCTTGATTATTAATAGACGTCACTTATGAATTCACTCCAAACTTTTCATTTAAATTTTATGACATGGCGAAAGAGTATGAAAAGTAATAATTTGAGTAATAAGTGAACGAGCCCCAACCCTATAAACAAAAATTAAACTTTGGTATTTTTTTCAATCATTCCATAAAAATGCCGAAGAGGCATGTCTTGATAAAGGAAAATCCCTCAATAGTAATTGATTGATTGGACACGATTGTCCTTATCAAAAAATTCAATATAAAAAAATAAATTCTTCAAGAGTGTAAATAAAAATTAAGAAGAAGGAACAAAAGGCACCAATTTAAACCTGATAAGATGTTTTTAAAAAATGAAACTGAGTTTTGAACTTCCATGAGCTGAAAAATTCTAATTCGAATTTAAAATCTTTCACAACAATTTAGTTCCAACTGAACAATTTCAAACTGAAGATGTGGATGATGATGTAATGCATCCTGATGCCGATGATGATGAGCCAGAAGTAAGACCATTCGCAGTTCAACCAGAAGAACTGACAAAAGAGCACTGGATTCAACATGGACGTGACTTTGTTGAAAGGCAACTGAATAAAGCTCCAAACACAAAGAAAGCCAAGAATATCATCTTGTTTATTGGTGATGGAATGGGTCATACAACTGTTGGTAAGTGGTAGTGCTAGGAATACCTTAATTCTTATAATTTCTCAATCTCAATTTGTTCCCTCCAGCTGCAACAAGAATGGCAATGGGTAATGAGAACATCAAACTTTCATTTGAAGAGTTTCCATACGTTGCAAGTTCAAAAACCTATTGTGTTGATGAGCAAGTCGCTGACTCAGCTTGCACTGCGACAGCTTTCTTGCATGGTGTCAAAGGAAACTCAATGACAATTGGAGTTAATGGAAATATGAGATATATGGACTGTGTTGACACAAATAACCGTAATAAGTATACAGAGTCCATTGCACTTTGGGCTCAAAAAGCTGGAAAAGCCTCAGGAGTTGTCACAAACACAAGAATCACACATGCATCACCAGCTGGTGTTTACGCTAATACAGCAAGTAGATATTGGGAAGATGACAATGAAATTAGACTTGATGGATGTCCTGCAGGCACAATTGAAGATATTGCAATGCAATTAGTCCATGGTGAAGTTGGATCAAACTTGAATGTCCTCTTAGGTGGTGGATCTCGTGCCTTCATCCCAAATACTGAGACTTCACATCGTGCTAATGGCAGAAGACGGGATGGTCGTAATTTGATCAATGAATGGTTAGCAGCTAAGCCAGGTCGTACTTATGTCAATAATCGTGAAGATTTTATGAACTATGACATTAATAGAGATGGAGATCTGTTTGGATTATTCAATGCTACTCACATGAGCTACAATCTTGATCGTACTCGTTGGGAGCTACAAGATCTTGAACCAACTTTAGAAGAAATGTCAGTCAAGGCTGTTGATATCCTTAGCAAGAAAGAAGAAGGATATTTCTTGTTCGTTGAAGGTGGACGAATCGATCATGGACATCATGCAACCCAAGCAAGAATGGCCCTTGATGAGACTATTGAATTCCAAAAAGCAATTAAGTCTGTTGTTGACAAAGTCAATCTTGAAGAAACTTTGATTATTGTAACAGCTGATCACGGACATGTTTTCACTATTTCTGGATATCCACATCGTGGAAATGATATTTTTGGACTAACAGCAAGCAATGCTCAAGATGCAATGAGGATCTTTACTTTGTCTTATGCTAATGGACCTGGTAAGTTTGATAAATCATTTTATTGATGGGAAATTGATCAATTTTATTTTCATAATTATTTCCCATTATGTTGTTATCCCCTTGTAAAATTGTAGAATATACGACACACATCATCAATTTTGAACCATTTCCAGAACTTTAAACCCAGCAGATTAGAAAATAATGATTAATAGAATTAATTCTCAATTTGCCAGTTAATTGAAAGATTACTTGTAAGTCTCCTATTTTCTGATAAAAGGCATTGGGCTCGCGACTTTCAATTTATCTTATCGTTATAATATGATTAGCTTTTATTCTTTAATTGACCTTCCGAGTGTACCTTGTTTATTGACTGATAAGCAATTTCCGTGCAGCAAATAATGCGTTTTTATTGCGTTTCAGGATTTAATACACATAGAGTCGGTGGACAACGTGTCAATCCAAATACATTGGACCGAACACCAGTCGATTTTAGATATCCTGCAATGGTTTTACTATCATCAGAAACTCACGCTGCTGAAGATGTAGCTATATATGGAATCGGACCATGGGCACATTTGTTACAAGGAACTGTTGAACAGAGCGTAATTCCCCATGTGATGGCATATGCTAGCTGTCTTGGTAATGGAAAGAAAATGTGTGATAATGAGGAACAATAAATAAGGAACTTACAAACACAAATTTAATTTTAAAGATTGTTATTGATTGTTAAATGGATTAATAAAAGTTATAGCTGTGAATTATCAAAAGTAAATACTTGACTTTTATCTTGAGCACATAAACTTCTTTAGAAATAAATTTTTGAGCACTTGTTTCAGTTGACATTTGGAAGTGGTTGAGAATAAAAGTACAATATGAAGTTGTTGATTTTGGTTTTAATTTTTTCACTTGGATGTTTGGCGTATCCAAATATGAATCCTTTTGGTGAGATTTTTAAATTATTTACAGGATGATAACGAGTGATTGTGAAGCTTAAGTTAATTGAAGTTGCGCCTTGCATAAGTCAAACATTTTATATCGACAAAAAAGTGTAAAGCTGAGCAATTAAAGTTAATGACTTAAAAATCACAACACTTGCTGACTATGTGAATAATAAAATTTTTAAAATTCTCAATCCTCTCAAAAATACAGTCGAGCCACAGAAAGAAGAAAGATTCTCAGATTTTGACATGCATCCACATATTCATAGGCAGCATGCAACAAAGACTGGAGGTTTTGCTTTTAAAGAGGAGGAATTGACGAGTGAATATTGGATGAATAATGCCAAAGCTTTGGTTGAGGAAAAAGTTAAACGCACACTAAATACAAATAAAGCTAGGAATGTCATCATGTTCCTTGGGGATGGAATGAGTCACTACTCGTTGGGTAAGATAACTTTTTTTATAGATTTCGGTAAGTTTTGTATGAAATATGAATTTTTCCTTAAGCTGCGGCAAGATTATTGATCGGTGGGGAAGATGCTAAACTTTCATTCGAGTCCTTCCCATATACAGCAAGTTCTATGACCTATTGTGTGGATGTTCAAGTTGCAGGTAAGTTTTTATAAATTCAAGCATTCAAAATTTCTATGATTTGCTAATATTGTCAGAAGTCCGTTTACTTGACTGATAAAACGTACTTATGTACAATAGCCAACCTTGAAAACCTAGACTTGAGTGTGTTGAATAATCAAATCTTAGATTAGATATTTTGATAACAGTAAAATTTCAAGAAAAGTTCAACAATAACTTATATTAGGCCAGTGTTGCAAATGTAGATGTCTACACTAGATGAAGAATGTAGATTCTTCAATAGTTTTTGTCTAGCTAAGAAACTTTCTTCATAAAGATCGATTCTACATGAAGATAGAAAATCTAATCTACACAAAGATTCTGTCTACATAAAGATTCGATGTAGATGTCTACAATTCTACATTTTTTCCAGGTCTACATCAGAGAAGAATGTAGAATTATAGACATCTACATCGAATCTTTATGTAGACAGAATCTTTATGTAGAAATAATCTTTGTGTAGATTAGATTTTCTATCTTCATATAGAATCGATCTTTATGAAGAAATTTCTGTCTCAGAATTTATCTGATCCAGACAAATAGCCAGAATGCAACACTGTATTAGGGTGTCCAATCTTAATCACATAGTCCATTTCTACCTAATACTGAAATATATTCATCCTATCCTCAGATTCAGCATGTACAGCAACAGCATACCTTAGTGGTGTAAAGACAAATGATGGCGAGATCGGTGTTAATGCAAATGCTACTTATGAAAGTTGTTTGGATGGTCAAGACGAGTCTAACCATGTTGATTCTATTGCTGCTTGGTTCCAGAGGGCAGGAAGAAGTTCAGGAATTGTCACAACAACAAGAATTACACATGCTGTAAGTGATTTTTATTGTCTAGAATTTTATTTGAAGTAGTCGCTATCAGTTCTATATCTCTAGCTCCATCACAGACTATATTTAAGGTTATAGATCTAGTTTTTATTGTTTTTTGGTATTTTGAAGTTACTATTTTTTTAAAATTTAAAGTTTTATGAACTTTTTGCTAATATTTTGGAACAAAATCTTTTTTAATCAACATCTTCTTCCCTCAAAAAATCCAGACTCCAGCTGGTGCATACGCTCATACAACAAACCGTGATTGGGAAGATGATGCTGAAGTCGCAGAAAGTGGCTGCGACCCTCAAATTGTTGATGACATTGCAGAACAACTCGTGTACGGAAAAACTGGTAAAAACTTTAAAGTAATTTTGGGAGGTGGCTCTAGACACTTTATTGGAAAATCCTTAACTGAACATGGTACAAATGGAAATAGAATTGATGAAAAGAATTTAATTTATGCATGGGAACGAATGGATCCAAACAGAACATTTGTCAGAAATCGAGCAGAATTGATGGGTTTAAATCCAACAGAAATTAAGCAGCTTTTCGGACTTTTCAGTGATTCTCATTTGAGTTATTGGATTGATGTTGAACGTGACAATAAGCAGGATACAATGCCTTCATTAACTGACATGACAAAGAAGGCTATTGAAATTCTTGAACTTGAAAAGGAAGGCTACTTCCTGCTTGTTGAAGGAGGTAGAATCGATCATGGACATCATCGAACACAAGCTAAACATGCAGTCACAGAAGCTGTTGAGTTTTCAAAAGCAATTGAAGCAGCTCTAGCTTTAGTTAACCTTAATGAAACACTCATTGTGGTTACAGCTGATCACGGTCATGTAATGACAATGTCTGGTTATGCTGATCGTGGACATGATATTTTTGGTATTGCTGGAGATGGAACAGACAATAAACCTTATATGACACTTTCATATGCCAATGGAGAGAGTTTTCCACAACATTCACTCGCAGGAGAAAGAGTCGATCCAGAATCTTTGAATGAATACATTAATAATATAAATGAAATGAAATTCCCAGCGACAGTTGCACGCGAGGATGAGACTCATGGTGGAGAAGATGTCGGGGTCTGGGCAATCGGTCCATGGTCACACCTATTTCAAGGCACACTCGAACAAAATGTGATACCCCATATCATGGCATATGCTAGTGGTGTAGGTGATGGATTAAGAGCGTGCGATAATTAATAAATTATTTTGTCAAAATGAGATTTAAGTTATTGAAAATAATAAAATATTGAGTATGTACTTAAAAATAAAATTGAGGGTTTTACTTGTCGATCACTCGGCATTTCAAGAAGTTATTTATTTTCAGAAAATTGTTATACCTGTTTCCAAATTTGTCTTGTATTGAAACTCACAAATGTTCCTTAAATCCTTAATTTCAGACCCCAGCAGGTGCTTTTGCTCATGTTACACACCGCAGCTGGGAAGATGATGCAGAAATTGCAAAAAGTGGCTGTGATCCTCAAGTTGTTGATGACATTGCTGAACAGCTTCTGTTTGGTAAAACTGGCAAAAATTTAAAAGTTATGCTTGGTGGTGGTTCAAAGCATTTCATTAACCAAACAATGACTGAACATGGAATATCAGGAAAGAGGAAGGATGGAAGAAATTTAACTTCTGAATGGTTAAGTGAAGATCCAGGCAGAACTTATGTGAATTCTAAAGCACAACTCATGGCAGTTGATCATAATGAAGTGAAGCAGCTTTTAGGAATATTCAATTCCGATCATTTGAATTATTGGATTGATGTTGAAAGAGACAAAACTCAAGATTTAGTTCCTTCCTTAACAGAAATGATAATGAAAGCTATTGACATCTTAGACAGAGATAAAGATGGATACTTCCTTTTAGTTGAAGGTGGAAGAATCGATCATGCTCATCATGGCACAGAAGCTAAGCAAGCTACTGGTGAAGTTACTGAATTTTCAAGAGCAATTCAGAATACTTTAGATCGAGTGAACCTTAATGATACCTTAATGGTCGTAACAGCTGATCATGGTCATGTAATGACTATATCTGGATATGCTGAACGTGGGCACAATATTTTTGGAATTGCTGGAGAAGGTACAGATGGCTTACCATACATGACAATTTCATATGCTAATGGTCGAAGCTTTCCGAAGCATGTAAAAGATGGCAAGAGAATCGATCCAACAATTTTATCTCAGTACATCGACGATATCAATACCCATGAATTCCCAGTAACAGTTGCACGCAAGGATGAGACTCACGGAGGTGAAGATGTTGGAATCTGGTCTATCAGACCATGGTCGCACCTATTTCAAGGCACACTCGAACAAAATGTGATACCCCATATCATGGCATATGCTAGCTGTGTAGGTGATGGATTAAAAGCCTGTGATAATCAGTGAATTATTTTGTCAAGTGGATCAAAATGTCATTTTATTTTGTATTTCTATAAATCTGTTTCTAATTGTAAAGTAGACGTGAAAAAAATAATGTATATTTGTGGCTATTAAACGTGGGAGCTTAATGACTTGCAATCTGATAATGTATTTAAAAGTATGACGGTGATGCATGTGCTGTTTACTAACTTCTGATGCATTTCTATGTTTGTCGGTTTTGATGAGAATTTTTCTGGATTTTTCAGTGTTTCCGTATTTTATGCTTGAACTGGAAGTACTTGTTTGATTCTTTAAAATGCTATGAATCTTATTTAGCTGGTTACTGAATATTGATAGCTGGAAAAAGCTGTGTAATGTAATTATAAATTTTCTTAAATACGGAACCAATAAGCTGTAATTAAATCTTATAAACCATGAACTTTGTCAACATTCTAAATAAATTTAAAGTCACGGCTGATAAGAATGATACAGCGTACGAGAATCTCACGTTTTAAGTGTCAAAAAGTATAAAGTATGTTGACGAGACACATGCAATTATCATAACTCTGATAAATACATTTAAGCTGCTATTTGTACTTTCTAATCAGTCATGAAGATGAGCAAATACAGTTTAAATAAAAACACATGTTTATACAGAAGCGAAAAGTTCAGAAAACATCACGTGTTCATGTCAATGACTGTTCATTTCCTTGATTATTAATATTTTTTTCTCAGTCGTCTCGAGACTCAAATTTCACGGTGTTGCGCAAACGTTTTTTGATAAGCAAAAGTCAGCTTTTTATTCTATATTTAATCAGTTCCAAAATTCCATACCACATGCTTGATAGAAAGCCGAAATCACGTGAATATTCACTATCATAATAAAGTACAAACATTTTAGTGAAATGAGCACAAAGTCAAGGCAAAAATATTTTTTCTCGTCCTGTACATGATAAGCACAGCATTATTAAATCTTGATAAAAAGCTATCTGAAACACATTCACACTCAGAAGTCAATTGAAGTGCCTCACAATCCGACAGTTAATTTAATATTGCACACATTTCATATACTGCTTATTAATTTTCGTTTTAAGTCGGTAGTCTCGTTCAATCATTCGACGAGTCAACACGTAATCTTTTAATTATTTGAAGGGCTTAATAATAAAGGTCAATTTACAATGATTAGAAACATTTTGGTGATTATATTACTGGCTGGATGTATTTTTGGGGGTAAGTTGATGCTTAGTGATAAATTCAATATTTTAAAAAATAATTTCGTACGTGATTGAAGATTTGTGGAAGTGAAATAAAATTGAAAAATATTATTTATGTAAAAATTTCCAAATACTTAGTCTATTCTTCATCATAACAGATGAATACCATAGCCACCACAAGCCATCAACTGTGAAAAAATCTTCCAATGTTATCAATGAGCAGGAAAGAACCACAAAATATTGGGTTAATCAAGCTCAAGACACTCTTAAAAAAATTGTAAATAAGAAGCTTAATACAAAAAATGCTACAAACATTATTATGTTCTTGGGCGATGGAATGAGTTTCTCGACTGTGGCTGCAACTAGGATGTACTTGGGTGGTGAAGAAAAGAAGCTGTCTTTTGAAGAATTCGAGTATACTGGATTTTCTAAGGTGAGAAACTAATTTTTTACTATAACAAAACAGTTCCAATGATTAGTGAGTCTTAAATATTGGACATCATTCACTTTAATTAAGGGTCCCCCTCTTAAGCGTTTTAGGCCGTGCTCTCGCTGTGGCTCAAAAACTTTAAGGGAGGGACAAGCCCCCCTTGATTACGCGCCTGATTAAGGGTCTCTGATTGGTTCTGACAGCCAATGTGACCCTCATAAACCCTTAAAATCTCAATATAAAAATCCAATAAATCAAATTCAATTTAATCTTCGTCGAGTGGTTAAATATTTCATTCAATTAGTTTCATTCTTATCAAATTTCATTGGAACCACCGTACTTAAAAATAATATATAAGTTAATACAGTCAAGACTTGTAAAATAATCTTTATATAATAATAGCTTGGTGTTAAAAATTCAATTTCATCAAATTTTAAAATATAGACTTACTGTGTGGATGCTCAAGTAGCCGATTCAGCATGTACATCGACTGCTTATCTAAATGGAATCAAAACAAATTACGAAGTAATTGGATTAAACGCTAAAGCAACTGTTGCAGATTGTGATGCTCAACTTGATGATAAAATTTGGACAGAAAGTATTTTGAGATGGGCACAAAAGTCACGTGAGTATTGAGACTATGAGGCTTAATCCTATTCTGAACTTATGATCAAAACCTTCAATCCACAGACAAAGCAACAGGAATAGTAACAACAACACGTATTACTCACGCTAGTCCAGCTGGTGGGTATGCACACGTCTCCGAACGCGACTGGGAAAATGATCATGAAGTTTCCTTAAGTGGATGTGATCCAAACAAAGTTGATGACATTGCCGAGCAGCTCGTCTACAACGTCGAAGGAGCCAACTTTAAAGTCATTTTGGGTGGAGGTCGTGCAAATTTCATTAATCAAACTGAAAAGGATGAAGAAAACAACAATGGAAAGAGACATGATGGAAAGAACTTAATTAATGTGTGGAAAAATGAACGATCAAAATTAGGAAAGGCTGAATATATTTGGAATAAACAGCAACTTGATTCTCTTGACTATAACAATACAGAATATCTACTTGGTCTTTTTGAGCATGATCACATGAGATACAATATGGATGTGAAAGCACAAGGTTTAGTTTTGGAACCTTCACTTTCGGATATGACAAGTGCAGCTATTAAAATGTTACAAAAGGAAGATGGTGGATATTTCTTGTTCATTGAGGGAGGAATGATTGATCAAGCTCATCACTATAATTATGCACAAATATCATTAGATGAGACTAAGGAATTTTCTGATGCCATTGCTCTTGCAAGGAAGATGACAAACGAGGAGGACACACTTATTGTTGTGACAGCTGATCACTCACATGTTTTTACATATAGTGGATATCCTGTAAGCAGAGAAACACTTGATTATATCAATATTATACTAATTCTATGTTTTCCATCTCAATAGGAACGAGGAAGTAACATTTTTGGAGCCGTTGAAGTTAGTGACATAGATGAACTTCCATACGCAACATTAAGTTACGCCAATGGACCTGGTTTCGCTCATACATTTGTAGACGGAAAACGTGTGGATCCAAATACTGTTGGAATGGATGATCCTAAATTCCAATATCCAGCAACAGTGCCAAGAGAGAAAGATACTCATGGTGGGGAGGATGTCGCAGTGTACGCATCAGGACCAATGGCACATCTATTTAGTGGAAATTATGAGCAAAATACAATTCCACTCATCATGGCTTATATCATGAAAATTGGACCATATGCGGCTGAAGAGAAAAGTGCATCATGTGCGATAATGCCAGTTTTTATGCTCTTATTATCTATGTTGATAATAAATAAGTTGATTAAGTAATTTATGACAGGAAATTATTTGTTTTATAGCCATTAAGTATTAAAAAGTTTTGAGATTCAGTGATAAATTATTTTAAAGTGTAAATTTTTTGTGAATAAATGAAGGATTTGAAATAAGAATTTTGTGCTGTTATTCGCTAAAATTTTGAAGCCATCCCTTAACCTCGAACCAAGTTCACCTTCTTATTAAAACCTTTTCAATTTTTATTGAAGATAATTTAACGGAAATTTATTATTAAAATTATATTTGTAAACTGCAAGTAGTTAAATTCCCGCCTTTTCTAGTTGATAGCCCCCTTTCATTCCAAATTTTCAGTCTGTTTTCAATCGTCAAAACATCATTTTAATTAATGCAAACTTATTTATTCTTAAACTGCACAGCCCTTATTAATTACATGACATATGAATGTTAACAATCTTTATCTCAACAAAAATACTGTCATAAAGTGCAAACAGTTCAAAGGATTAGTTCCTTAATTAATTTCTATAAATAAAAAGAAATCAGAACAATAAACTTAATGTTATCTTGAACAATTTCCTTACGATGTCAATCAATCAATTTGGTAGCAATGATTTTGATTTTTTATCAATTATCAAATGAGTAAATCCCACTGAATTCCCACAATCATATCAAGCAGCTTAAATAATTAGTCAGGAAAACTAAAAATTCACATAAAATAATTGAGAAATATTGTACAGTTAAACATTCAGTAGTGAGCATTCATCATGGTAACGTTAAAATATACTTTAATCTTGTTTTTTGTGGCTGTTGCATGTGCTGAGCATGAATTTCATCCAAAACCTTCCAACATAGATCCAGCACTGGAGATTACAAATATTAAACCAATACATAAAACTATAGAAGGACATAATCTTTATTGGACAGAAAATGCTCAAAGATATTTAAAAGAACAGCTAAAGCTTACCCAAAATACCAAAAAAGCCAAGAACTTGATCATGTTTGTTGGTGATGGAATGTCAATATCAACAATAGGTGCAACGAGAATGTACTTAGGTGGTGAGGAACTCAGCTTATCTTTCGAAGACTTCCCTCACTATGGACTGGTAAAGCCTTATTGTGTTGACAGACAAGTTCCCGACTCAGCATGCACAGCAACAGCCTTTTTGGGTGGAATCAAAAATAATTATCGTGGACTTGGTGTGACAGCAAATGTAACAAGTAGTCAGTGTAACTTTAGTGAAGAAGATGTAGTCTACTCGATTGTAAAATGGGCACAAGATGAAGGAAAAGCCACTGGAGTGGTTACTACAACTAGAATAACACATGCTACACCAGCTGGTAAGTTTAAGCATCTAATTGCAATAAGATTTAAAATTTTCTTTTCCCATAGCTGCTTACGCTCACAGCCCACACAGAGATTTTGAAAACAATGCACTCATATCCTCAGCCTGTAGAAATGATCCAAATAGTCAAATAAAAGACATTGCACACCAGCTAGTCTACAACGAGGAAGCAAAGAGACTCAAAGTAATTATGGGAGGTGGAACCAGACACATGCTTAACAATACGATGCAAAACGATGAAGGTCGATTTGGTGAGCGAACAGATGGAAGGAATCTTATTGAAGAATGGCTTGAAGAAAGAAACAAAGAAGGAAAAGCTGCTTATATCTCACACAAGCAGCAACTTGATGAATTGGACGTTGATAAGACTGACTTTTTGCTTGGATTATTCGAGCATGATCACTGCATGTATCGTTTGGATGTACTTAATAACAAATTAGAAAATCAAGAACCATTTTTAACACAAATGACTGAAACTGCCATAAAAATGCTCCAAAAAGAAGACAACGGATTTTTCTTGTTAGTTGAAGGTGGACGAATTGATCATGCACATCACAGTAATTATGCCAGAAATAGGGGTTCCAGAATTCCCGTTCCCGTAAGATTTCGGGAATCGGGAACGGGAACGGGAATGATGTCCGGGAACGGGAATATTCCCGGGAATCAACAAAGAAAAAAAAAGTTAAAAGCTACACTTACACCCTGATTTTATTTAGGTTTTTAAATCAAATTTAAATTCTATTTGATTTGATTGTCAAATTGATTCTTTTGACAATAATTTCCGTTTAAAATTCAGTTCTTTTTGGTTTTAGAACAATTCATAAAGGACGATTTTTCTTAAAAGAAATCTAGTGCGATTTTTTGAGACAATATTATTGGAGATTGAAAAGTTACGTTCAGCTCTTGTAGATGTTGGTGGAATTGATGAAATATAATCTGATAGATTCAAAAGGCATGGTGATTTATGCTGAAACTTGTCGTAGTAATCAAAATATTTACGAATCGTATCAAATTTATCATTTGTAAGCTTTGAAATTGTAGGTGATGCCATTAATTCTTCAAGATTCAGTTTCAGTCGTTCAAATTACTTTAATCCAATGTCAATTAAGTTTATTATTTTGTGTACATCATATATTTAAAAAAATATTTTTAAATACTTTTTCTCTTCGTTTTTCATAAATAAATTTTTTTGATTTAAAAAACATCAGATTTGAGTTTAACATTTCAACTCTTAAATTCCTTAACGTATGTTTTCATTATTATAATTTTCTTCTTTAAATTGTAGTTTTTTCATGGAACATACAAAATAAAAAAAAATTTAATTTGAATTGTCGATTTTTTTGGTATGAAAACGGGAATTTCGGGAATATTCCCGACAGATTTTCGGGAAACGGGAACGGGAACGGGATTCCCGTTCCCGGGAATTCCCGGGAATATTCCCGATTTTAGAACCCCTAGCCAGAAAGTCATTGGACGAAACTGCTGAATTTGCAAGAGCAATAGAACTTGCTCGATTGATGACAAGTGATGATGACACTTTAATTGTAGTCACATCTGATCATTCGCATGTCTTTACATATAATGGATATCCATATAGACATGATGATGTCCTTAAAACCACAGGATATGGAGCAGATGATGGTTTACATTTTGAAACTTTAAGTTATGCAAATGGGCCCGGTTATAACCGAACGTATGCTAATGAAGGCAACAGATCTGACATAATTAATGATGATTTTACTAATCTCAATCGTCGATATTCAGCTATGGTTCCACTCAGCTCAGAAACTCACGGAGGTGAAGACATTTCTGTTTATTCAAGTGGACCTTGGTCTCACTTGTTCCAAGGAAGCTACGAGCAAAGTGATATTCCTATGGTCATGGCTTATGCTGCTAAAATTGGACCTTATGCAGATAGAATTGAAACTACAACAGCATGTACTGGAAGTGACTGTGATTCTGCAAACGGCGTGTATCTTATGTCTGCTTTATTAATTTTAAGTCTTTTGGTTTTGTATTTCACATAAGTTCTTTGAGAGAATCAATAAAATAATAAGTTGATAATAATTCATGGAAAACCCAGCTTAAAGTTCTTTCTTTTTTACAACTAAGTTTTAATTAGTGTCTTTGCAATCTTAATTATATAGCCAAATTAAGATAATACAAGTCATGACATAAAGTTAAGCAAGTTCTTGTGTTATTCATACATTTAACAAGAATCACTGTTTTAGTTTATTATATACCAAGCTCCTTCCTTTTCTGCTCTTTCATAAGAACCTGTTTTTATAGTAAAACGCGTAAAACGTACACGATCGCGCCACTCGAATCCAAACTGTTGTGGTGAGATTCTAAAGAGTTGAAGACTTTGGTTTTAATTATATCAAAATTCTCTAATACCAATTGAGAGTTAATGCAATTTCAGCAGGGAAGTTTGTCTAATCATTTCCAAATCAACTCAAAAAAGACTTGAAACTGATAAAATTAATTTAATAATCCTCAATAAGTATGATGAAACCCTCAAGACATTAGATAGGAAAATCCCACAATAATCAATTAATCACTCAACAGTATTTGAAGTGCAAAATCCAAAAATATTGAACATGCACAGTTTTATACTCAAGACATTAAAAGTCAGTCGGTAAATTTCTAAAACTCATTTATTTACCTCATGATAGAAAAATGTCTTATCAATCGACAAAGTATATTGTACTAAATAGCTATTTGTACTATGCTTAATTATACTTGTCAACATGGTACTTCCATTCCTTATCTTAACAAATAATAAAGACTCGCTGTCTCGTGATATAAACGTGAAGACTTAAACAATAAAGAATTATCAGCTTTACAGTGACTTTGTATTATTTTGATTGAGAGCTAGATGATTTTTTGAGAGCTACTGAATTAAATTTTATCAAGATTTAAGGAGAATTGACACCGCAATCAGTGTTTGATATGGGATTGAAAAGTAGAGCATTTATGGTAATTTCTGCATCATTGGTTTAGGGTACAAAAGGTATTATTTTTCAAGTATAAAAATCTTGTGTGCTATTTTAATTGTTGATTTCAAGAGTTTCTTAAGTTTAATAATTTGCAGAAGCTGAAAATTGAAATAAGCATACACAATTTTCAGCACTTTCTTCAATTTGCTAGGATTGAATTTGTCAAACATTTTAACGGTTTTTAAAATTCAAAAAAATTGTAAAGCTATTCAAAAACTACAAAACCGTTAGCATTTGTTCAGTAAGTTTGAGTTCGTTTGTTTCAATTTAAAACTTTGAACAAAGTTTGATCGTTATCTGAAATTTAATTGAAGGGCTTCGCAAAAGGATTGATTAAATTTAAAGGAATTTGATAACTATGAGAAATTTTGATTGAAGGGTTTAAATAGGAAAAATGTTAAAAAAAACTTTTTAAAAAACACGCTTTTATCAAAAAGACTAAAAATCAAAAAGTTCAAAATAAAATAAGGTCACACTTTTAGCGAATCAGGATTTTAAAAATTTTCTTGTGACAACTTGAAATGTAACATAAATTTTTTTCAAAATATTGTGATTAAGTCCAAGAACACAATGACTCTATAAGCGTGGGGCGTAATTTAAGGATGCATTTCTTAGTTCAACTAAGTTCTTAAGTAAGAGAAGCGTCAAATCTCAAAGCCCCACGCTTTTCGAGTCATTGTGTTCTTGGACTTAATCACAATATTTTGAAAAAAATTTATGTTACATTTCAAGTTGTCACAAGAAAATTTTTAAAATCCTGATTCGCTAAAAGTGTGACCTTATTTTATTTTGAACTTTTTGATTTTTAGTCTTTTTGATAAAAGCGTGTTTTTTAAAAAGTTTTTTTTAACATTTTTTTATTTGCTCCTTTTTTGGTCGCTTCGTTTTTATTCTCAACAACAGACTTAACTTCAAGAAAAAAATGTTATTTGTTTTTTAGTCTTCGGGAAAAAAGCGTGTTTTTTAAAAAGTTTTTTTAACGTTTTTTTATTTGTTCCTTTTTAGTCTCAATCTTTTAATCGAATTTCGACCACAACAATTCAAATTCAACTCCACTTCGTTTCGTTCAACTTTTAATATATTCCCATTTTTTAATGGGTAATTAGTAACGACTGTCAGGATTTTTCATTCGTTTTTATAATTTAAGTCATACCTGGAAACACATAAAACTCTTCCAAAAAATGTCCTGAACTTCAATTATTTGCGTTTTCTGTGTTTTTTAAAACATTCATGAGTAAAGAACATTAAAAATCAATCGTAAAGATTTTGTGTTTATCCGTACCATTCCTATTACATAACGTGTGGATTCTTAACATAAAGATGCAAATCACATCTATATGTAACGTATTTATAACGGATTTTTCAAATTTAAATTCAATGAATGTCATTCATATGTTATGCAAAATTACGTTAAGCCGATAATAAATAGAAGTCAATTTAATTAAATTGGTGAAGTGCTATAAATATTGTAATACATTTAAAACAGCATACGTTTGTGCTCAAATTATGTGTGCTAAATGCACATCACATATTGATAGTTATTTTGCATTAATTCGTAACGGACTTGTGATTAACGGTTTTTTTGAAAATTCAAATTTTCACTTACGGATATTCATGAAAAAATTACTTGTCAATTTTTTCATCCTCCCAGAAAATCTTCAGCTTTTCCAATTATTAGTATTATTAATAATTAGTAATATTAATTAAACTATAGTGAATCATATAAATGACTTTTGAGCATTTCAAGTATAATATTTTAAACAAATCAAAATTTTATATCATTGACATTGGATTTTTTTCCCATATAAAAAAGTTTTATTAAAATTGTACTATAATTAAGCATTTATGTGGTTCTAAAGTGTTAAAATATTGTATTGTCACCGGGAATACGTGTGTATACAAAATTTGAGCTCGATTGGAGCAATAGAAGTGGTCGAAAAATCGATTGCAAGATTTGAACGTGACATACAAAGAAACCAACAGAGCAACTCAATAAAAAGCGTGTAAGGGCAATTCTTTGGATGAGTGGAATTTGAAAAAAAAATGAGCTTTCATAATCCAATGTCAATGAGTTTTGTGTCAATAAAATGTTTTCTTTAATTTCATACAACTGTGAAGGAATAATAAGCCAAAACTTTCGTAGATCATAAATCATAATTAATTCTTTACAATTGATCTATTGAAATGTTACAACTCACCCAAATTAAGTGAAAAATTGAAAAAATATGTTTGAAAATTTTGTATTTTTTCACGGATTAAGACAAAAAAAAGCTTTCTTATAACTCGATGACACAAGGAAATTTTTCAAAGAATTAAAATATTTCATTAATTAATGACTTAAAGCACACAAAAAAGCAACCTAATTAAAGATTTTTGTCTGTTCTATAACTCAGTAAAAGTTATTCAATGTGGATATCAATAGTTTTCTCTAATTTTCGATTCTTTGGATGATGAAAATTGATAATTCCGATTTCTGTCATCGAGTTATTGACTAAAGAATCCAAATAACTTAATTAATACGGCGATTAGAAGTATATGATATCAAAAGTAGTGTATATTTTAGATTTTTACACCGATAAGAATCATAAAATCAGTGTCTCTGATGGGAAAAATCAATAAAATTTCGATTTTTTGCTGAAAATTTTCCAAAAGTCATCCATAGAATTGGCCGTAATTAAAAATGGAATATGATTGATTTTTTTAAAATTGTTTTAGAATAGGAAGGAAGATCACTAGACGTAAAGATAAATGAGGTAACAGAAGGAAAAAAGAATCTTTGGTTAAGGATTAAATCAATTATTTGAAGAAATATCTTTTAAATTGATTTAAGACAATCAACATCAATTTATTAACATTTTCAAGATTTTTAAGCTTAATTTAATAAAAACATTTAATCAAAGCTGTTCAAAAGCATCAAATACGACAATATTGTTTTATAAACCTCCAGAAATGTATAAAAGTTTAAAGGTTTAATGCCAGCCGACAATCCCTTCGGATATCTTGAATATTGCATGACAAATTTAAATGACTTTTGATCAGAAACTGACATAAGATTCCATGTTACATTGCACAAATCATCATAAAATTTATCTCCTTTTGAAATCAAAATTGAACCGAAAGCACAAGGCAGTAAGAGTTGAAAAGCAGTGACACATGCTAACAAATAGCCAGGAACAAAGTTTAACTGAAGATAAACATTAATAATTTAAAGAGTTGAATAATTAATTAAGAAAACTTACGCTGATGATAGCAAAAAGCACTACAGTCTTCTGGAAAAGTAAAGATGCTATCTCGAGGAAATAATACGACGCAAAAGTTTTCCTAAAATTGTTCAAGAACTCAATTAAATTAACATGAGTTTGAACGAGGAACTTAATTTTAGCATTAATTTCATCACTTTTTTTTCCTTCCTCATTTCCAATTGCTGAGTCATTCAATTCATCAATTAAAATATCTAAAACATCGAACTGACAAATTCCACTAGTCATGAAGCAAATGATGATGCAAAGACTTAAATTTGAGGCACAAAAAAAAGTTGATATGCTTACAATTTGATGGACAAAATTAATTCCATATCCAATCCAAGATTCTTTCCAATCAATGAATGGCAATTCCAATCCAAAATGAAGAATCCTTTCATCCATAATGAAATAGTAAATGATTGGATAAACCGCAATTAAGATGAATGTGCAGATGTAGAGAATAGTTAAGCCTGCACTGACATGAGCCACAATCATGAATTTTTCTTCAAATATTTTCGATGACTTTAAGGACGAGAAATGTTCATGAAACTTTTCACTTTGCTTCCGCAGATTCAAAACATTGTCGCGCAACCATAAAAATGTGTGAAACTTAGCGAATCCTTGAATACAAGCTGATAATGTCAACAAGCAAAACACACATCGAACCATATCTTTACGAAACAAATAAATGTCGCAGAAATTCACGATGCAATTGAAAGTCATCAATGACATTAGGATTGTAATGATTCTGTTGGTAATTTCAAAGTTTTGATCAAAGATTCCAACACCAATTAATCTTCCCCATTTCATTATAAATTCGAAAATTTCATCAACCATTTGCCAATGTGTAATGACATCGGATGAGAAGTATGAAGACTTTGTTGGAATCTTGAACTTATTTTTAAGCTTAATGCATTTGACCATATTTTTAAGCAACTTAATTGATCAAATAGAATTTTACTTCTAACTGCAATGCTTATAGGATAAAATTCGAGTAGAGAACAAAGCATGAAAATTAGATTCTTAATTGTGGTTGAAAATAGGGAAGCAATTATATGCATGATAAGTCATTATTAAGTGATTGCAACACAGGGCTGATATAATTTAAATTTGCATTATTTATTCTTTTTGAACTTGAATTGCATTCAACTTTTTGAGTTTGGAATTGAAAAGCAAACTTTTTGGAACTGCAAAAAGAAAATTGTTTTATTGAATTTTTGAATATAAATTTTTAAGACTTTAAAATTGTTGTTTATTACTGTAAACCAGTGCTGTCAAAACTGTTTGCCGCGGCACACTGGTGTGCCTTAGTATGTTTTTGTAACACGAGCTGTGTGTGACTTTGGTAATGGCTTACCAATAAAGTGTGGCGTGGCTCGAAAAAGTTTGAACAACACTGCTGTTAACCAACATTTATAATTGATACAAATAGTGCATTACGTTTGTGGCTCAATGATATATTATCTTAAATGTTTCTGCATTTCATCAAAATTACTTAATGTTCAGCAAAAGCATCAAATACGAATAAATTGCCTTGTAGATCTAAAAAATAATTTTAATTTTCATAAACTTTAACTTGACTTAAACTCGAAACATTTACCTCAAGAAATGCCGTCAACTCTAGAGTTTGAATACCTGCAGCTAATCCTTTTGAAGTTTTAGAATTAAGAATTATAAATTTGAATGACTTTTGATTAGAAATTGACAATAAATGCCAGGAAATATTGTACAACTTTCGATAGAATTCATCGCCTTTAGAAATTAGTATGGAACCGAGAACGCAAGGTAGAAATATCAGAAAACCAGTAGAAATGGCACACACATATCCAGGAATGAAGTTGAACTGAAAATTATGGATTAAAAAATGTAATTGAGAAGATTTATAATAACTTACACTGATTATAGCGAAAAGCTCTACAGTCTTTTGAAAAACTAAGGCTGAAAAGTCAATGAAAAAATAAACTAGAAAAGTTCGTCTCATATCTTGTAAATACTGAATCAAGTTTGTATGCTGATCAACGAGAAACCTTATTTTGATACAAATTTCACCGTCTTTAGATCCATCCTGGTTAAAAATAGCTAATTCATTAAGCTCGACAAGCAACATTTCAAGAACATCAAATTGACAAATTGCACTGGCTATGAAACAAATGATAATGCACAAAGTCTTTATTGTCATGCATATGAAAAGAAAAAGCAGTCCTCCTTGATGAATGAAGTTGATTCCATATCCAATCCATGAAAATTTCCAATCAATCAATGGCAGTTCCAGACCGAAATGCAGAATTCTCTTTTTAAAAATTAAGTAGTAAATGATCGGATATGAAGCTATAAGGATGAATGTACTAATAGCCAAGAATGTAATTACGGCTGCCATATGAGCAACAATCATGAATTTTTCTTCGAAAATTTTTGACGATTTTAAAGATGAAACTTTTTCATGAAACTCCTTACTTTGCTTCCTCAAATTTAAAATATTTTCGAATAGCCAAATGAAAGAATAAAATTTTGCAAATCCTTGAACTTGTCCAGAAATCGTCAATATGCAAAATACACATCGTGGAACATCATCCCGAAATAAGTAAATATCATAGACATTGATAATGCAAGTTAATGCCGTCAATAACATTATAGTAACAATATTCTTGTTAGTTCGCTTAAAATCTTGATCAAAAATTCCACCACCAATTAATCTTCCCCATTTCATTGCATATTCAAGTATTTCGTCCATCATTTGCAAATGGGTAATATCATACGACGAAAAGTACAAAGATTTTGTTGGAATTCTGAGTTTAAACATTTTGTAGAAGCTGATTTCAGAACTTTACTTCACTAAGGATGATAATTATTTAACTTTAATCTTCTTCGAACTATGATTAAGTAGTAACTGAAAAAGGTTTATGAACATTTAAACAATAGAAAAACAGGATTATTTTACAAATTTCAAGTGAAATTGATTGCAGTTTAAGGTGAAACAATTAATAAATTAAATACAGTTCTCGTTTGATTTAATTGACTTTAGAATTGAAGAATCGATAAAAGCTAGCAGCGCAATAAATTAATTGAATAAAATAAAACTGGTGAAGGAGTTGGGGATTTGAAAAATCGCTTTTTGAATTACTTAACAATTAAATGCCCCAAACTAGGATTGATGCTTCTTCAATCAAAAAATGCAATATTTCTTATTTAAGAAGCGAAAAATCATTTAATTTATTTTAAATTTTCCAATAATTGAATAAAACCAAGCACAACACATAAAGCTCTATTAAAAATAAATTATTTTTAAATCACTGAAGTTTCAATTCTAAGACATCCATTTAAATTAAATTTACATTCCCAAATTTTACTTAATGTTTTGTAAAAGCATCAAATATGAATAAATGGCTTTGTAGATCTAAAAACAATTATTAAAATATTTTAAAAAATTCATCTATACAATCTCGATGTTTACCTCAAGAAATGCCGATAATTCTAAAGTTCTGATGCCTGCAGCTAGTCCATTAGGCTTTTTAGAGTTGAGAATTATAAATTTAAGTGACTTTTGATCAGAGATTGACATCAAATGCCACGAAATGTTGTACAAATTTTGATAGAATTCATCTCCTTTCGAAATCAACACAGAACCGAGTGCACAAGGTAGCAAGATAAGAAAACCAGTAGAAACGGCACAAACATATCCGGGAATGAAGTTGAACTACAATTTGTAAATTTAAAGAAATTAAATTAAGAAGATTAAGAAGACAACAACTTACACTGATTATAGCGAAAAGCTCAACAGTTTTTTGAAAAACTAAAGCTGAGAAGTCAATAAAGTAATAAAGCATAAGTGTTTGCCTCATTTGTTTTAAAAACGTAACCATATTTGTGTGTGTCTCAACCAAAATCCTTATTTGGCAACGTATTTCACCGTTTTTTCTTCCATCCTTATTTGAAAGAACAAATTCATTCAGTTCGACAATAAGAAGCTCCAAAACATCAAACTGACAAATTGCACTTGTTACATAGCAAATTGTTATGCAAAAAGTCATTATTGATATACAAATGAAAATAAAAAGCAGTCCTCCTTGATGAATAAAATTAATTCCATATCCAATCCATGAAAATTTCCAATCAATTAAAGGCAATTCCAAACCAAAATGTAGAATTCTCTCATTAAATAACATGAAGTTGATAATTGGATATGATGCTATAAGTATAAATGTACTCATGCTCAGAAATGTTAAAATTGCAGTGAGGTGACTGGCAATTATGAGTTTTTCTTCGAATATCCTTGACAATTTTAAGGATGAGAATTTTTCAAGAAAGTTATCACTTTGCTTCCTCAAATTCAAAATATTTTTATAAAGCCAAATGAAAGTATAAAACTTTGCGAATCCTTGGACCTGTCCAGATATTGTCAATATGCAAAAAACACAACGTGGAACATCTTCCCGAAATAAGTAAATATCATAGACATTAATAATGCAAGTTAATGCCGTCAGAAACAATATAGTGACGTTCTTTTTGTTTATCCTCTTAAAATCCTTATCAAATATTCCACCACCAATTAATCTTCCCCACTTCATTGCAAATTCTAATAGCTCGTCCATCATTTGCAAATTAGTGACGGCTTCTGACGAAAAGTATGTCGACTTCGTTGGAATCCTGAATTTAACCATTTTAAGAACTGATTTGATGACTTTACCTTACCAATGCTAATTTATAATTGACTGTGCTATGCTCAAATAGAAACTGTTTTCATGAACTATTTTACTCTCATGAAAAATTTAAGAAATTTGTAGTAAAGCTAATTGCAGCTCCGAGTTGAAACAAATTTAATACCTTTTAAAACTGAATAATCGATGAGAGCTGACTGGGCAATAAAATTGCAATAAACGAGCAATATCATCGGAACACTTATTATAAGAAAAGGAAATGAGGTTTCAAAACGTTTTTAGTTCTTTTATAAGCGAAATGTTTCATACTGTCTGTGGTTGAAGCTAGTTGAAACTTTGTTGATAATACCTGATAATTAATGTCTCTATAAACTAACAACTATCCTTTAATTTTGATTATATAATTTGCATAATCTCCCAAACGTTTACATAAATTGGATTTGTACTGCACCAATTTTATTTAATGTTCTGTAAAAGCATCAAATATGAATAAACTGTCTTGTAGATCTATAAAATAATTAAACATTTAATACAGTCTTCATAATTAAGATATAAGATGCTTACTTCAAGAAATGCCGAAAATTCGAGAGTTCTGATGCCTGCAGCTAGTCCATTAGGCTTTTTTGAGTTGAGAACTATAAATTTAAATGACTTTTGATCAGGTATTGACATCAAATGCCACGAGATGTTATACAAATTTCGATAGAATTCATCTCCTTTTGAAATCAACACCGAACCGAGAGCACAAGGTAGGAAGATAAGAAAGCCAGTAGAAACGGCACAGACATATCCAGGAATGAAGTTGAACTAAGATCAAAAAAATCCAAATTAAAAAAAATTAACTTCTTATTATTAATGAGATACTTTTTGGCTATAAAGGAATGACTTAACAACTTACGTTGATGATAGCGTAGAGCTCAACAGTCTTTTGAAAAACTAAAGCTGTGAAGTCAATGAAGTAATAAAGCATAAACGTTTGCCTCATTTGTTTTAAAAACTGAACCATATTTGTGTGTTCCTCAACCAAAAATTTTAATTTTGTGCGAATTTCATTGTCTTTGCAGCCATCCTTATTAGAATTTACCAATTCATTTAGCTCGATAAGCAAAATCTCCAGAACATCAAACCTACAAATCCCATTGGTCACAAAGCAAATTGTTATGCAAAAAGTCATTATTGATCCACAAATAAAAACAAAAACCAATCCTCCTTGATGCATGAAATTAATTCCGTATCCAATCAATGAAGTTTTCCAATCAATTAAAGGTAGTTCCAGACCGAAATGCAGAATTCTCTCATTAAAAATTAAGAAGTAAATGATTGGATATGATCCTATAAGGATAAGTGTACTGATGAACTGAAATGTGAATATAGCGGTAATGTGAGTTGTAATCATGAGTTTTTCTTCGAATATCCTTGACAATTTTAAAGATGAGAATTTTTCAAGAAAGTTATCACTTTGCTGCCTCAAATTTAAAATATTTTTGAAAAGCCAAATGAAGGAATAAAACTTTGCAAATCCTTGAACCTGACCAGAAATCGTTAATATGCAAAATACACAACGTGGAACATCTTCCCGAAATAAGTAAATATCATAGACATTGATAATGTAAGTTAATGCCGTCAGTAATATTATCCTATGATATGCCAAGAGACGATGTCAACGTTGGAGCAAAATAAGTTTAAACTTGTTTCGAATGTTTTTCGAACAAAATTTCGCAATTTCGAAAATCATATTTTTTATGAAAATTTTAACTTTTCGCAATTTTTGACTTAATTCACTTATTATTTAGGAATCGAATCCTTCTACTATGTTAATCAACACTCATTTAATCGTTTAATCGATGATAACTGCAGGAAACATTAGTTTAATATGATTTTTTTCAAAAATATTCAAAAAATTTTGTTGTTGTTTACATTGAAAATTAAAATGTCATTAATTCACTTGCATTAATTGTTTATCAAATCAGTAATGATTCATTACAGTTGAGTGGATTCTTTTAGCATTTTGATGATGAAAAACAAATATGTAAACCATTAATTAAAGAGATTAGACATTAATAATTTAACGTGAAAAAAAAATTTGAACTCATGCTCGAAAATAAGGTACCAAAAAAAAAATCAATATCGAAAATAAGGACTCGTTGGCGTACCATAGATATTATCGTAATGATCTTTTTGTTTATCCTCTTAAAATCCTTATCAAATATTCCACCACCAATTAATCTTCCCCATTTCATTGCAAATTCTAATAACTCGTCCATCATTTGCAAATTAGTGACAGCTTCTGCTGAAAAGTACGTCGATTTTGTTGGAATCTTTAATTGAAACATCTTTAGACCTGATTGCTAACTTGGCTTCACTATAACTGCTAATTTATTTGAGCAACTAAGATCTTCTTTGCTCTTAAGTCAAAAAAGAACTGAAGAGTATCAAGATTGTTGAAACAAATTAAAAGTTTAAAACTCCACTTAATTTCAATTTGATTGTTTTTATTGATATTCAATTATCTTTTAATTTCAAAATTTATTCAGAACTTTTGAGATCACAAAACAGTGTTTTTCAAACAATGATCTACGAAAGTAGTGCTTACCTATGTTCATTGTTAATTATGACCAAGGAACAACTGTTTAAGAAGAATTTATCAAAGGTTTATTTAAATCAGAGCTAAAAAAGAAAAGGTTTTAAATTCTCAAGGGAATTTTCAGCCTAAATGAAATAACTTACAGTAATAATATCAAACAACTCGACAGTTTTTTGGAACACTAAAGCAACAAACTCATAAAAATAGTAAGACACAAATATTTTCCGTAATTCATAATAAGCAACAAAATGATGCACGAAATTGATTCCGTATCCAATCTAAGAGTGTTTCTAGTCGATAAGTGGCAATTTAATTCTTGATATCAACATTTTTTATTTGTAAGTTTGTGAATCTATGAATCTTAAATAATGTTTTGTCCCTTAATCCAGCAATAAAGGCTTTCATATTAAGTTTGAAACTCTGATTAAGATTTACTTAACATTTTGCAAAAGCATCAAATATGAATAAACTGCTTTGTATATCTGAAAAATTAAAATTTTTTTAAAATTTTTGTGTTCTTTCCAAAATGTAAGATTTACCCCAAGAAATGCAGACAATTCTAGAATTTTTATGCCTGCAGTAAGTCCTCTTGACTTTTTGGAATAAAGGATGATAAATAGTAGAGACTTTTGATCAGAGATTGACATCAAGTGCCATGAAATGTTGTTCAAATCTTTATAAAATTCGTCACCTTTTATTAACAAAATGGAACCAAAAGCACATGGCAGAAAGAGTTGAAAGCCAGTTACAGCAGCACATAAATAGCCAGGAATAAAGTTGATCTTAAATAAATTAGATTAATTGCTTTTTTTGTGCTGAAGGTAATCTTGTAACTTACTGTGCTGATGGCAAATAGCTCAATAGTCTTCTGAAATACCAAAGCTGCATATTCGATAAAATAGTAAATTGCAAAAGTTTGTCTAAGTTTTAATAAAAAATCGACAATATTTGCATGAGTTTCAGCCAAAAATTTAATTCTGCTTCGTATTTCCTCGTCATTGCTTCCATCCTCATTTTGAATAATCAGTTCATTAAGCTCATCTAGTAAGATCTTTAATACATCAAATTGGCAAATAACACTTGTTATAAAGCAAATAATGACACACAAACAATAAATTGAACCACAAAAGAAGTAGATTAAGCATAGAAGCTGATGTATATAATTAATTCCAAATCCAATCCAAGAATCTTCCCAATTAATAAATGGCAATTCAATTCCGCAAAGTAAAATCTTCTTGTTCATAATAAAATAAAAGATGAATGGATAAATCGCCAATAAAATAAATGTACAGATGTAGAGAATAGTTAATCCAGCAATGACATGAGCCGCAATCATGAATTTTTCTTCAAAAATTTTCGATGTTTTAAGCGACGAGAAATTTTCATAAAACTTTTTACTTTGTTGCCTTAAATTCATAATTCGTGTGCTCGTCCATAAGAATGTATAAATCTTGACAAATGCTTGAATTAAACATGAGAAGCTGAGCAAGCAAAAAACACATCGGACAATGTCATCGTTAAATAAAAATATATCATAGATATTTATAATATAACTAAATATCATTAGCGACACTACGAAAATGAGTTTTAAGTTGATAAATCTATAGTTTTTGTCAAAAATTTCAGCACCAAGTACTTTAGCCGATTTCATTGAGTACTCAAATATTTCATCCGCCATTTGTAAATGTGAAATAACATTTGACGAAAAATACGTCGATTTTGTTGGAAGCTTGAGCTTGATCATTGTTCTGCAGCTAAATTGATCACTATGACCGAACACTTTAAAGCACTCTAAATCCTATGAAGAAGAAAACTTGCAATAATTGAATTTTTATAAATTGTCATGAGAATCAGCATATTGCATTTAATTAATAATTGTTTCCAGTCAAATCAATTAATCATTGATGTTAAGGATTAAAATGAGCAAGTTGATTTTTTTTTCGAATGAATCCAATTTTATTGATTTCAATCGCAAGTGCATTTTTGATAAGGCTTTTCGAAGCCAAAAACAATCAATTATCTTATTGTGATGCAAGAAACAGCAATTAGTGTGAATTTATTTAGCATTTTGCAGGAGCATTAGATATGAATAAACAGCTGTGTAAATCTAGAAAAAGAAAGATGATTGATAATTAGCAACTTAATCTTAAAAACTTACCTTATCTATTTACCTCAAGAAATCCAGATCATTCTAAAGTTCTAAATCCAACAGCCAATCCTTTTGGCTTTTTCGAATTAAGAATAATGAATTTGAGTGTCTTTTGATCCGTTACTGGCATTAAATTCCAAGAAATGCTGTACAATTGTGTATAAAATATGTCTCCTTTCGAAACTAAAATGGAACCAAAAGCGCATGGGAGGAATAGCTGAAAGCCAGTTAAAACAACGCACAAATAACTAGGAATGAAGTTTATCTGGA